GGAAATCAGTCACCTTAACATGCCTTAAATATATTTAGAATTTATATTTGAATTGTAGGCCTACTTGGCCTAGGCCTACTATTTTTACTAATAGGCCTAGGCCTATTCATGCTGAAGTCAAACATATTCAGCCTGTTGCCATTTAGGCCTGCTAATAGTGCTATGATTTAGCATGTTTAGGCTAAAATGCTTTTTTTTTAATGCCGGTGTAGGCCTATGCTAAATAAGGCTAATTAAACCTGCTAAATCATGCAATCCAGCTGTCGCTGCTGCCATTCATGAAATTTTTTATAAGCCATGCATGGGGAAATGAAATGAAAATTTTACCATTTGAATTTTTCCCCATGATGGCATGATTACTCAGTTGGAGCTCATTTCAGTGAAACTTACATGTAGGCCCAGGGTGAGTTGGTTGACGATCGAATGTAGTGTTTAAGCTAGTATTTAGCATTGCATTATTGAATCTGCATATGTACGTGTATATAATTATGCAAATTATAACAATTTAGTTAAATTTTTCAAGGCAGCGGTTTTTTTGGCAGTCTAGACCTAAATTTCCGTATGTGTCTCATCATAGTTCATGATCTAAGATGAAGAAATTCTGCTTTATTGAGTTAGATGTTTTCATTTTCTAAAAGATTTAAACCTCTCATATGGAGAGTGCAACATTTCTTGAATCATATAAATCCTCATATACACCTGCTTTCTTTTCTTTTGTTCTAAAAAAAATGCAGCTGATCTTAACTTTCCGCTTGTTTTGACGAGATGGCAGACAGTGGCATCTGCGGTTATGCAGGAGACACACAGCTTCAGACATGGGAGGATGTTGGACTGAGAGAAGCTTGTGGCGTCTTTGGTTGTGTTGCCACGGGCACCTGGCCAACGCAGCTGGATGTTCCGCACATTATTTCGCTGGGGCTTGTTGGTCTGCAGCACAGGTATGTATCATTTGGGGAGAGCCACTTTATACATGTGGCATAGACACAAATTTATATTTTGAGTCACAGATAAAATTCTCACTAACTTGGTAAGAAAAAAGAGTTTCATTCTTTATCATCTGTGAAAGTGCAGCCTTGAAATTGACCTTGTCAAGTTTTTCAACAAAATTATGTGACATTAACTGAGTGATTTTTTCTTGTATACAGTGCAAATACGAAATCACAATTTTTGAGTGTTACTGAATGATGTTGGTTTCTCTCTTGTTACGTTTTCTCGCAGGGGTCAGGAAAGCGCGGGCATCGTCACCAGCCATGGCAGCTCTGCCACCTTCCGCAAGCACCGAGGCATGGGCCTGGTGGGCCAGATCTTCAGTGAAGAGATCCTTGGCAAACTACACGGTAACCTGGGCATCGGCCACACACGCTATTCAACGGCCGGCACCTCTGACCTCACCAATTGCCAGCCCTTCAATGTGGAGACCCTGCACGGCTGGATCGCTGTCGCTCACAACGGCGAACTGGTCAATGCACTCAGGCTGAGGGAAAGTGTAAGTGAAGTACATGAAATTGTTTTCATCAAATGTTTTGTGAATAGTCAAAAAAAAAACCCAAGTGTCATTGTTAAGTCATCACAAGTCCCTCCAAGTCCACCAGTTCTAGTCCAAGTCACAAGCTATCCATATGATCTGTTACAAAAGTATTCCTTTGTCTCTGGTCTCCTTTGTTAATGACTGGTCTTCCGAAAGCACTTGTAATTGGACTAATGAAGGGACTTGTGATGGACTCAGCTACTACCAAAATCCCCCAAAGAACCAGTCTCATCGCCCAGTAGTAACGCTGCTGTTGTATGAATAGAGGTTTTGCATTGCTGGCATCTCCATGGTGTCTGAAAGGCTGTTGTTATTTTAATGTAGTTTCAACGAATGCACAAAAGGTTTATTTAAGCCTGTCCCGGTGAAAAAGAGCTCTTGCCCTCTGAAGACGCGTTAATGCATAACACATGAAGAATTTGACATCCTGAAAGTGAATAATATGCAGATAAGATGGATTGTGTAGTGTTGGGTTGCAATTTGTGTGAAGTCTTGTTTAACCAAATAGTCCTGTCAGGGTAAACATACATTCTCCCATGGTTAAACATTTTGAAACTATTGTGATGGGTTTCCCGGAAGGAAAAATTTAGCTAGAGAATTTTTACAGGCTATCTGAAGGACTCTATTCCATGTTTTGTAAAACAAAGCCAAAAACGGTGAATCTTTGTGAATCTCCTTAACCCTACAGATTCTACGACACGGTGTGGGCCTGTCCACGACCTCTGACTCTGAGGTCATCACCCAGCTGCTGGCTCGACCGCCCCCCGGCAGCGAGTCGGACGGACCCGATTGGCTGGGACGGATCAAGCAGCTGATGAACGAAACCTTGCTATCCTACTCCCTGCTTATAATGCACGGAGAGAGCGTGTACGCTGTCAGGGACCCATACGGGAACAGGCCGCTATGCATTGGCAAACTGATGGGTGTAGGTTATCTGGGTAAGTTGGCTTTTTTGAATTTGTGCATACCTAATAGGTTAGGAAAGTAGGAAGATTCCTCCTGAGTCAGGCTTGACCTGTGTCTATTCGCAGAACAGTACTGGATTTCTCCTGGTGAACGGTGCAAAAAGTACACCATACGCCAGGTAAAATCCCTACACCTTCCTTTTTTCTTTCTTTGGTTTTTTTCAATTTTTCCATAGGTGAGGAATTTTAAAAGTGGTTTGATGTGTCCAATCTCATGTCCACTCAGCCACTTCCAGACATTGAAAAGGAAATGTTAAACCTGTGAAGCCGTTTTCGAGAGTACTACGTGCCATGTAACATTCTCAAAAAATAGCCTTTCTCACGTATATTACAAAGTCTCCCCCCCCTTGACTGTTGCTGAACACAATCTGCCTGTATCATTTCAGTGTAAATGAGAGCATGGGAGATGAATGTGAGTTGCTTCTGCAGTGAAAGAGTTCAAAAAATAATGTGCACTTCAGGAGACTGCTCTGGGTTTAATTACTGTCAGGATGCACTTTTACGATCTGTCTAAAAGTCCCCTTTGGGGGGGACAACACAAGAATGATGTTGTAGCTGTCACAACGTTTGTTTAATAGTCACAACAGCTGTGCATCAAATCTGTGGCGTCACAAATTTTCCATTTTCCAGAATTAACTTGAAAGCACGGATGACTTATTTTAATTTTTTTGCCTACATTGAACAGGAAATTTATTGAGAAGGTTTAATGTATAATGTACATACGTCAATGTGTACTACAAAACCGTGGGACTGGCTCATAGTATTATGTACATGTATAAAACCACCCACAATATTTTTAATGGTTTCAAGAGGATGTGAACAGCCATTTCAATGAACACAGGATGTTCAAAATTGTGACTGTCTCATTTTTCATTTTGTTATTTTTACAAAAAAATTCCTCGTGGCTCTGGATGTGCAGAAACTATGCATACGAAAGATTCTTCTAATGAACTAATTATTTTTGGATATCCGGCTATGGCCATTACTTTTGGATATCCGGCTATGGCCATTACTTTTGGATATCCGGCTATGGCCATTAGGTACAGTCCCATCAGTTACAGCTATCGAGAAATGTAACGGATGAAATTATTATTGAAAAGCATGCTTGGTTTAAAGATATTCGTGGGACTAAACTCCTTGTGAAATTATTCTCTCTGGCAAGCTGTCATTTTGGCACACACAAACATTGAAATGACACACCCTTGTGTGCAATTTTTAGAATTCTTTGGTTCAGTGCTCAGCATCGTATGGCTTCATTCAGCTGAATGAAAATACATTGGGGATGCTAAATTTGGGCACAATTCAAAACATGACTCGGCAACTTTTAATTTGAAATCAAGATCCTAGAATATTTTAATTTTTGTTTCTGAAGTTTCACAGAAAACTTCGTCTGGTTAGTTGTTGGGTACCTTTTTTTGCATTTGAAGCCCTTTTTGGCCTCAAACGAACATAATGCAAAAATAACAAAGTATAGACTATACCTGTAACTTTCCAACCATATCCACTGTTAGAGTCATTTCCAAAAAACAATTTATTTGAATGGAAAACAATGGACATGGCTGAAGAGACTACAGATGGATGACGTTTCATCTATTAAATCCACCTGTTCTTTTTTACCATCGTATAAAAAGCTTAAGATTTTTAAATTGCATAAAGTTAAAATTTGAACTTTCAAGAGGATAGTGTGATAGAGGATGTGTACATGTACATGGTTTTTGCTCTTTCAGATGAGACGAGGGGGTTAAAGTGGCACTCTAAATGTCCATGGGAGAATGGTGGTAGAGGTTTTTATATGTATAGAAAATGAAATGTATTTATTTTCATTCCTTAGCATCAACTTTTCAGCTTGAAAAATTTTAGTGCTGTCCTATAAAAACCAACTGCCAAGCAGCATTCGTCAAATAAAAACTTTTCGGAAAAAAAATTGTCTGTGGTTTTACACAGTGCACCAGTACAATTTCAGACTATTTGATGCTATTGCCTGTCCTTTATGTGTGTACATACTGTACATGTATGAAGTCATGTCTGCAGTCTAACTTCATTGTGGCCATGCAGTAACAGTCTTAAATCCTCCAAGTTTTGATAGATTTAGTATTCCTCAGATTAAGATGTGAGTGATTCTGTGAATTGATGAAAGTATTCCATGACAGCTGATCCTCACTGTGCAAAGTGGCCCCACTTATGCAGAATTCAGATCCCAAGTCCAGCAGGGCAGTTAGGGCAGAGTACATGTATTTGTTTAAATACGCATATGAGGTCAGGTCAAGTCAGGTGTCTAGTCTAACATCAATATGGCCAATTGCCTCAAAAGTGATCCAGTGAAGACGGTTTGTGCACGTTCGATGCATGAAATGCCTCAACAGTGATCCAGTGAAGACTGTTTGTGCATGTTTGATGCATGAAATGATCCTATCTCTCAGAAAGGATGATTCAACACTCAATCAATTGCTACTTGGTATTCAGATCCCAAGGATGAGGAGAGCAGCATTGAGGGTTGGGTGGTGTCATCCGAGTCTTGCAGCTTCCAGGCCATCGGGGCGCGGTACTACCGAGAGGTCCAACCGGGAGAGATTGTACAGATCACCAAGCAGGGCATCAAGACGCTAGCCACGGTGCCCAGACCTGACCAGCAACCTCCCGCGTTCTGCATATTTGAGTACGTCTACTTCGCAAGGCCCGACAGCATTCTTGAAGGTAAACAGGAATTTTATTTCAAAAGGTAATGTTTTAACCTTCCAAGTCACATCATAATTCATACTGTGTAGACATGAACCTTAACCCTAACACTCCTCAGTCCTCCAACAGGTGAAGGATTGAGGAGTGTTAGGGTTAATCATGCCTGATTCCAGAAAAGTGCTGATGTAATATTCTGGTACATTTTGTTACGCTGAGCAATCAACAGCAGCTGAATAAGTACTCTTACTGAAACAGTGGGAGCTGGTCCTATCGCACAATGTCACTGTTGGATCCTGTGCTAAGCTGGCAATCTAATATTTCAACTTCCTTTGCATGTACCTCTCAGATTCATGAGTGAAATTAACATAAAAAGAGTTTCATTGATAGCCACTTCTACTAGTTAAATGCATCGTCAGTTAAGAAGGGTTTCTTTTCTTATAACATTAGGTCAGATGGTGCATTCCGTCCGGAGGCGCTGTGGTGAGAGACTAGCCTTGGAAGCCCCAGTAGAAGCGGATCTGGTCAGCACAGTGCCAGAGTCTGCCACACCAGCAGCACTGGGTTACTCCCAGATGGTGAGAGTGATGTGTCTTGAAAGCGGCTTGAATAAAAGTCTAACTGATATTTTACATGTAACTCTTTGAGAACTTTGTAACCTTTAATGTATAATGTTTGTATGATGTGGTTTTTTTTTTAATAAAAGTTTGGCACAAGTTGGGCTGGGCTTAATGAAAGTGGCTATTTGAAAACTGCTTTCAAAGAAATTTGGTGAGGATTGACTGTCAACTGCAAAGACAACAGTTATTAGACTTGAATTTATGAGATATTTAAAGTTTTTGTCTACACAAGAATAAAAAAATTGGAAATAATGACCTCTTCAATGCTTGGGTTGGATTTTACATTATGTTAAGTTCTGTTGGTGTAAAGATTATGTATCAGGTGATTGTTGAAATGCAAATGTAATGAAGAATAAACTTCCTAATAAATTTCCTTTCTGCAGTCTGGTGTCCCGTATACAGATGTCTTGACAAAGAACCGCTACATCGGTCGTACCTTCATCCAGCCAAGCACCCGTCTAAGACAGCTGGGCGTGGCCAAGAAGTTTGGTGCATTAACGGAGAACTTCAAGGGAAAGCGCATTATACTGATAGACGACTCCATCGTCAGAGGAAACACTATTGCACCGATTGTCAAGCTTCTAAAACAGGCTGGGGCAAAAGAGGTAATGAATAACTCTCACAATGGAAAAGAGTAATCTAACCTTTAAGCATCTGTAATACCTCTCTCTAGCACCAATTGAAGGTATTCGTGCGTAGAGTTGAGATATCATACATATTTGCAGATGAATAAACTGTTTTGTAGAACTATAATTCTAGACTTGAATGACGTTTGAAATGTGAGAAAAATTGAGGTTTATTTGGTATAAAGTCAACTAGCCTAATTTCAAGACACTCCTAAACAGAATACATTGCCTGGTGGGTTTATAAACTCAGCAAAAGTCGGGTCAGGACAAGTTTACTGGAAGTGATCATTGCATTACATTTTGGCTTTAACCAGTTTTAACCCGTAGATATCTTATGTGCTCATTCAGTTTGTGAAATTGGTCCCCAGTTATCTCAAACCCTCTTCAGACTGTTTCTGCCATTTTCTCAATGCCTCACTGAGTCTCTTTCCACCCCTGTCAAATTCTTTTACACATCTGTCAATACCTCAAGATGTCTGCTTTCCCACCCTCCCTCCTTCTCCCAAGGTCCACATCCGTGTGGCCTCGCCCCCAGTCAAGCACCCCTGCTACATGGGCATCAACATCCCTACCAAGGAGGAGCTGATCGCCAACCGTGTGGAGACGCAGCACCTGGCCAGCCACTTTGGGGCCGACAGTGTGGTCTACCTGTCTGTGGACGGTCTGAGGACGGCCGTGATGGAGGGCATCCAGAACAAGGACGCGTCCTCGCACAAGTCGCGGCACTGCACGGCATGCTTGACAGGGGAGTATCCTGTTGAACTGTCATGGTAGAGGTGAAAACATGGACTTCAGAAACAAGAATGGTTTATTTATCTGAGGATCTTTTTTTTTACAGGGTTTGAAAACTTGGCTTTCACTTTCTTCACCTTCAAACTCTGAGGACATCATTTACCGAGTCCTCAGAGTTGAGACCATCTGTTCAGTGCAGTTCCATGTTTGGGCTACGCCAACATCTGTTCCTCTGTCAAGAGGCTGCAATCTTAAGCAGTTTTATGCATGTGCAACAGTAAGCATTTAACATTGATTGCGGAGCTTAGACAAGACCAAACCAGAGACAGTGAAAACTGAGATTTAGTTAAGGGCTTTGTATATCTTTCTCAGTTTCACCTGATTATGAATATCATGTGAGTGAAAATGTCAGTTCTTATTAATGTCAACAATGCTAGAGGGTAATTCAGCTGAGAAGTGTGACAATTTCCAACTCTGTTTCTTGGATGGAGTCATGTATTTCACACTCTTAAACAAGTTGAGAGTTCTATGTTAAAATGCTGTGATATTCTGCATTTTCAAGCCTTGTCGACAGCTTTATTTGAAAGAAATTTGGCTAACACTCACTAGTTTCTACTTTTTTAGTACAATAGGTTGTTCAGTACCGTACCTAACAGCCACTCCTTTTAATATTTGTTTATTAAGTGCCTGTTTAGTTACCTTGGCTGTACAGTATACTACTGTCAGTATTTGACAGCATCTTTAATCAAGTCCACTTTGCATAGCATGTTTAGGTCTACATTTTGTACGCATCCCATGCCTTGTTGCTGGAAGCATCGGCTGTGGTGTCAGAAGAAGATTGCTAAAGCACAAAGTCAACTTTGATGTACCTGGTGTAACATGCTGCATAAGAAATGAAGTACAATGTACAGTACGTTATTTCAGCACTGCCACACGAGAAGTATTATTGGTATCTGTAAGATACATGTATCTGGCTGTCTGTCCATATTGTATTGGCTGTCTGTCAGTTTGAATACCTTTCCACCATTAAAAGAAGAGTATAAATGTTTTGTCACTCCACCAGTGCGCATTGTCAGTGCATTTTAAAGTTACTTAAAAAATTGCCTGAGAAACTTTGGCCTAAGTACATGTAAATGTTTGTGGTAGCATGCAACCGAAGCTAGTGTACTCATCACTATGCTATCAGAAAAACTGTATGTGTGTTCTTTTCACATTTAATGTGGTCTGAAAAAGTGCTTTGTGGATGCCCTTAGGGACTTGCAAAGTACCAGTCCATTAAAAGCGTTGAGATGCTGTGATGTGTAACTTACTACCACCAACACGTGTATCTGTAGCACACTGAAGGCTTTCTCTGACAGCTTGTTGCACAATTTGAAGAATGCCTAAAGGTCAGAACACTAGTGGATAGGTGTGATGATCCTTACGTGTAGTCCGGAGGGAAAAGTTATACGTTTTTTCAAAAGAAGTGTTCTCTAAGAAAATATTTTCAGAGTGGAATGCATTTTAGGACTAGTAATACCATTATTAAAAGAATTGAAGTGCACAAATGTTGTGAAGGTTATTAGACGTGACGCTCTGCATGATCACTGTGTTTGAGAAGAAACCTGGTGTCACACTTAATAGTAACAAGTTGACCATATTTTTAGATATTGGAGAATCCACATGAGGAGGTTGTCTTGTTGGAGGCATTTTCAGGAAAAATGATGACGTCTCTAGAACTGCAGCTGTGTAAAGAGTTGATGAGGTATACGAGTTTTTTCCGCATTTCAATGCAAAGTATTGCCAGCTACTCTGTAATAACCATTTTTAAGGGCCATTTTCAATTTTGTTTGTTTCCTAGAATGAGAACAGAGCAAATTGTGATTTTTGGAAACGGATGTAGAATGAGTAAGTGGACTTGCGAAATTTGGGCGCAATTTCCGAAAAAAGTACTGAAATGATCTGACATTTAAGATTCATGGTCTTTACATTGTGTGAAGTGAATGTCACAGGAATTTTTATGGTCAAATGTATTATTCTGTGAGTGTCTCGTACATGTTGTTCGTTTCAACTGAGGTGACTTGAGTTCATGTACATGTGGATGTTGAATTTAAAATGTTATTTTCAATCAATTTGAGTGATGTATTTTGCACAAATAGAAATATTTGATTGGTTGTATCAAATATTGTGCGATGTGAATTGATTTTTTTAAAAAGAAACCTTTGACCGCCATTTTGTTTCCCAAGCACACTGAATAACGCTTGTTATCTTCAAGAAAAATTTATAGAAATTGACTGCAATACCTGAAATATTTCTAAAATGGACAAAAAGAAGATGTTTAAGGGGACATGTATGTTAGCAAACAACCAAGTTACTTGTCGAAAGAACTTTCCAGTGTGGGAAACACCCTTTCCGTAACAACAGAAATAGATAATTCAAGTTTAACAGTAGTCCACTCATTGAAGCAATTTCCATGCCTTGTTTAATATTGTTTTGAATGCACCATATGATTTTGTTTGTGTTTTGTACTAAGAGGTTTCATCAAGGTTTTACAAGGTACTAAAGCCTCATTTTTTGTATTCGTATGCAAAAGTAACGTCTGTCACGAGCATTCACTTCTAGTTTTGCCATTTCTTTTAGCACCAGAAAAGCCTGTATTTAGTGACTTTGCCCATCTCTGAAATTTAAGGTTGTCCCCCTTTATTTTGTTGGTTCATTTTAAGAAACGTGTGTGTATATTTCACTCTATATTTTCATATGTGTGGAGAAATAAAATAGACTTTGAGAAGACTGAATGTCCACAATAAATCGTAAAGTGCCATTCATTTATTGAGGTGTTCTACTTATCTTCATAAATGGAAACACATAGTCAGTGAGTTACTGTTACAGGAAGACACGAGCACCGCTTCCCCCCCACACTTCACTAAATGCTGCTGGTATTAAGCTTGATTTCAGTTGGCTTGTGTGCTGATGACATCATGCCTTGATAAGCAGGCCCGTAGGCTGGGGAGGGTCAAGGGGTTCAAACTAACCCCCAGTTCCGCTTGTTGGTGGTCCTTTTTTTTTTTGGGACTGAATATTTTAAATAGACCGTAATATTCAGCATACAAGCCACGGCTTATACGTTGATTCTCAAGCTCAAGGTGAGCACGATTCTGCATATTAATGAGTCAATCTCCAGTCATGTACCGTCAGGAAGTTCCGGCAATTATCCACATTTCAGGTGTTTCAAAGGGTTTGAAATCAATGTATTTTTGTTAAGTTTATTCAATATTTAAAACTACAGTGTACAAGTCTTACATGCAACCTTTGGTTTGCGACTGACTTGCAGCTTTTCAATGTTGTATTGTGAGCTCATTATATAAAGCTCACAGTGATAGGCCTTTATATAAAAATATGTGTTCACAGTGCCAAGAGTTCCACTTTTTGGTTTGACGAACCCCCCGTATCTGGTCAGGCAACGGGCCTGATAAGACATGCCTTCTCACAAGACCAAGGAGGAAGGACAAACTTGTGGCTCCAGAAAAAGCATAGATGTAAAACAATGCATGCTTCCATAAGTACATAGGACTCCAGGGCATTACTGAAAGGTAACAATAAAATTGAAATTACGACGGCAGAATCCATCTAATTCTAGAAGGCACCTGATTTTGGATTTGTAACGAGACGCTGCAGTGGCAAAAAATGAAGCCACAGTCTCCAAATACCAGTCTGGGTCAAACAGAACTTGTGGTAAAAACAGACCCATGCCGTATCAAATATAACTTACATGTACAAGTTTATAAAACAGAATCTTGCCATCTACGTATGGTTATCAGACTTGGCAAGGAAGTTGCAAGTCAGCACTTATCACTGAAAATGATGCCTCTGTTTTATGCAAGACCCACAACCTGAAAGTCATTTTCTGATGAGCTTTTCCAACTCCTCAATCTCCTTTGGACACTCTGCCGAAAGAATTTCCGGGCCCTTGTCCGTAATGAGAATGTCGTCCTCGATGCGGATGCCAATCCCCCGGTACTTGGCGGGTGCACTGGTGTCCAACTCTGGAATGTACAGACCTGTGACAATGACCAGAGGAATAGGCCAAATAATTCAGGGAACCTGCAGTCATACAGACTTATCCACTGACCAGAAATGGGAACTGCTTCTGCAGAGGGGCCACATTTAGAGCAGCTTGCGCCTGCCCACCAAATGCCACATCAAACTAATAGGGTACTGTCTGTGATTTGCCAAAATGCACATAAATGTACAGCTCTAACTTTGACAATGTACGTGACAAACACGTGTGCAGCCCCAGAAGTGACGGCACCTTCTTGCAAAAGGGAATAAATATCTGCTTGGCGTATAAATGTGCATTTAAGACTGGCTCAGGAGAGTGAACAAGAGTAATGCCAGAGTCGCAGGCGAGGACATTAGCGGCAATCTCTCTCCGAGCACATATTAATTCCCATTAATAAATACCTTTTTAACCATACGCTGCCACGTTTAATTAGAAGTTGCATGATGAGTTCCCGGGGGATTTTTAAGATTTTCCATTTTCATAATTCTTCAAAAATTCATAACTTCATTTACTGGACGTTTACACCCACATGAATGACTGTCTTGTGGCTACTCTAAACTGACAGGCGACATCTATTGATACCAGAGTATTGCAGCCAGGCCTGCCGCCTTGTAAAGAGAGCCCAGTACGGTGTTGTGTAATTTCCTTTGTTCCAGAAATTGGCTTGGTGCACTGCTGGCGTCTTTTTAATGCGGCCAGATAGTGTGCAATGGTACTGTATCGCTCATCGCTGGAGCGTTTTTGTCCCTGGTGATAATCTGCTTTCCCTGAATGCCGCAAACAGTGGTATACTGTTTCAAAACAATGACGGATTACCTCCGCTATTGACAGCTGAAAAAATGTTGGCAATTCCAACAGCTTGGTCTTTTGTTCCGAGTACGGTCTTTTGTTTCAAGGCCCAACTCCTTTGTCTGATTTCGGGCTCCCCCAGCTATGCGTATACACCTAAGGTCGCCAGCACGAAGTGGTTATTCATAGAGTCAAACGAAGTCAACATATTATGGATTTACAGCAATAGTTTTCTGGCATTTTACTTTCATTTTCCCACACACCCCTGTCCATTTTATGGAATATTCTTTGTGCAAATTGTCCAATTGGCGCGCACATGGTGAGCCATGTGCACGCAGACTTTTGACCAATCAAAATTGATTAAACTGTCTTGTATCCAGGTATCAATGCATAATTTACACAGTGGGCATTATCACTTCTCGGCGGGCATTACCAAATGTTAATACACAGTCAAATTGCATGTTGTTGTATAGGAAAACTGTCTGAGGTATTTATGAATATATCTAATGGACTTATCTTTCTGTAACACTTTATTCATGTGACCGCTCATTAAAACAACCTTTGAAGTCAATGCAACTGCTTCCATAAATATTACATAAAAATCTGGCACAGAATTTAGCAACAAAAGTACACACTCCTCTGATTTGACTCCACTTTGACAATCTGCTCGCTTAAAGTCACCGTTAAATTCCTCAGGTTGAGGACATACATGACTTTGTGTGTAACAAGTGATTTGATGATCAACAAATGAAACTTGACCTGGTTCGATAGTGACCACCATGCCGTGCTGTAGCTGGCTGCTGCGAGATATGCGTCCAGTGTCATGGGTATCCATGCCCAGGTAATGGCCGACATGATGTGGGCAGTACTGCTTGGCCATCTGTGATAAGGTTAGACAAAAGAAAAAATAAATTAATTAGAAATCTTCGAAGGGGGATCTGGTCAGTTGAGGTCAAATTTTTTATACTGGTCTTGATTTTGATCCATTCTGGTAGATTGGTAGTAACATAAATTTTGAATCTAGTCCCTTTAAAAATAAAATTAATGTTAAAGGGAAAACTTGAAGAATATACATTGTATTAGGATTTACAGTATTTGGTGGAAGTCTCAAACAAAGTAGGCTTGAAAAGAGGAACTCTGAAACAGAGCAGAATTGACTTTTCTATGGAAACCAACACAGTTGAAAATGAAAAGCTTTTGTAATATGTTTGGATTTTATAACAACCTATATTGAAATACTAATACTTTGATGAAATTTTTTGGCAGCAAGAACATTTATCCATGAAAAGCGTTGTTGCAAAAAGATTCACTTTTATAAATTGGTTCTCATTTTTCTCTTCCCTTCACGCAGTGACAGCCCAAAATCGATTAGCAAATATATACACAGACCATCAGTCAGTTTTTACTGGTAATGCACAAAATCCACATATATCCTAGGTAAGCAGGCAAAATTGGCTCGTGGTTGACTAATGATCGAACCTTGCCACAGAAGTCCAAGTCTATCCATACCTTGCAGATTTCCCATTCTGCTAGTCCTGATGGTAAGATCCTCATTTCCTGCAGGCGTTTGCCAAGCTCCGCCAGCATAAAATGATACACTTGGTCTAGTGTCCCGCCCACCGTGCACATCTCGATGCAGTCCTTCTGCACGTCCAGAATGGCTTGGTACAGCTGGGCCTGGGGATCCGTGAACCGACCATTGACAGGCCAAGTCCGCGTGATGTCACTGGCATAGCCGTGGTACTCGCAGCCAGCATCCATGAGCACCAGCTCATTGTTCAAGATCTCCTGGTTGTTGCTGATGTAATGGAGGGTGTTGGCTCTATTCCCGCCTGCTATGACGGGCGGGTAAGCGAGGAACTCAGCCCCCCTGATGCGACAACTGTAGTCCAGCTTGGCATACAAGATTGATTCGTTGATACCCGGCTGTGAGAATTCCATGACGTCTTTGATAGCGTTAGCAGCGACAGAGGCCGATGTCTGCATTAAGTTTTGCTCTGCAGGGGACTTGATAACCCTCTGCGACTGGAGAACATTCTCCAGGATGTTAACGGGGTGTCCCCTGTTGCGACACTGCTGGACAAAGGTCTCCTGTACTTCTTTGTGAAGTGCGGCATGGGGCGGCTTGAAGACGTCATACCACGCCACCAGCTCGCTCTTGCTACTGGCCAGGCTATGGAGCTTCTCACTGAAATCGCCGATGGGCTGGCATTCATGGATGCCCAGGAACTGGAGGGCTCCCTCAGTGCCCGCCCGCGGTCCATCCCAGAGTTCCCGCTCCGGGTCCCGCTGCTGCACAAACAGCGTCGCCTTGTGCTCAGGCAAATTCCTCCCAAGGATGCTCTCCAACACCAATGCGCTATCTGGCTCCTGAAAGCCTGTCAGGTACAGGAAACTCGTATTCTGCCTGAACGGATACGGAATATCATCAGTCATGTATTTCTTGTCAGCGGACAGGACAACCACAACGTGTTCACTGCCACTAGCACTGCTGAAAGACCGTCCAATGGCTGACATAAGATCAGTGCGCCTGTCCATGTACTCCTGTCGCGTGATCTCTGGGGTGATTTCATTTGTCTTCAGTAGGTGCTTGTGGGTGAAGGGAGTTGGTTGACCCAAGTATCTCTTTGGGAGAAAGATGCCATCTTGTTGACTAAGGTGCCCTGCAAATGTACAAGTAACAACACACCTTATACTTAATTTGATTTTGCTCACACTACTTGTGCGATCATCATTGATTAAAACTGTATTATTGAACATAAGAGCTATATCTTTTAGCTTGTGATAGCTTTGAAGTTATGTTTGGCAAGTACATCTAATCAATTTTAAACTGAAATATTACGTGCCCGTGTCCAGCAAAACAAATGCAATACCATACAAAAATTCAATTCAATTCAAACACATTTATTCCATACCATGATGAGATGTGGGCCTACAGTACATAAATAAAAATGACGAACAATGAAAAATAAAATACCATAATGACTAACATTTGAGCACGTTTGGGATGCAGTTAATCTCTTTAACATTAATCAGCTTTCGATATGTATTTCCTCACATGAGCTCGGCTATAGTATTGTGAGTCGAAACTTCTCACCCAGAGTCTAATGCACGGAGGATTCCTTGTCACTGATAAACATGATAAACCATAAGTCTTATCGCAAATGCTGCATGGGTGATTTTTCACAATGGTATAAAGGCATTGTGGGAAGGAAAAAGGAGTAAACATTGAACCTTTTGCCTTCTACCATTGTACAAAATCACTAATATGCAGTAATTGCACTACTTGCAATAAGGCTTATCTCTTGATGACCATGAACAGGGGAAGAGTTCCATATAAAAGTGCAATTTGGGAGGGAAAAAACCAAGTTGATTACTTGGAAAACACAGAATTTTTCAGGCAAGTCCCATAGGGTTTGTGCAGAGGGCGTCAAGTGGGGTGCGTAATGGAACTCTTTCCCTCAAACCGTGGTGTCAAACTGGCATGATTATGAAAATGTAATTTTCTCTCAGTCTCTGCCAGTAAATTTAAAACCGATCAAGCATTTATTGAAATCCTACCATAACAAGTGCATAAAAGTCTACCATGGCTCTTTATTACGTTCAAGATTTTGGTGTTTTTAGGATGATTCCAAGCGATTAACAGCTTAGCTGTTCGTCCAAGACATATCAATCTAGCCATCTTGTTTCGACCGGTACTGGCCCGCTACTACTGTACAAACACTTAACGTACGTAATGAGATCATAGCTCAAGGTCTTCTTATTAGTCTCCGTTGGGTCAAACACATGTATATCGCACGTGTTTGTTTACGCATACAATAGTCTTAATTCAAGATACGGGCGAATGGGAGGGCGCCCTTCAAGTTTTGCCGAGCAGCAGCAAAAAAAAAAAAAAGCGCAGCGGCGGGCAAACTGTTCAAATTGAGCTAATCTCTTATGAATTCTTTTGCTCATTGATGTCTTTCAACTCCAGTCATATGTTTATCAAGCTGACGTATCAAGCTTGGTTCCACTTTAAAGTGCAAGCTCATAAATCATAAACTTCGTTGTGCTGTCTGGGGACTTGTATGAAGTCTAATCAACTCTCGGTCAAATAATATTAAACATTATCATGATTGTAGTTTTGTACCATGATTCCTTGCGTTTGGCGCGATACGTGAATAAAAATGGCCACCGAAACAGACGACCGGCTTAACAGAAGTGACAGACACAGAAAGGTGTTTTTATGTTTCTGGACTTATTACCTGTAGAGTTTTCAGTTTTTCTTTTGAAGTTAATGATATTGGTCAAGAATTTTAAAGGAAGTGACAGAAATCTATGAGGATAGGCCTATTTAAAACACACTGGGTCTCCTTCGTCTTGTTTGAAATGTAACTTCTGTCATGTCTGTAGTGTAGGCATGCGCACACTTCCACTGAGCACTGCAGTTAGTTGCCTGAGTCGCATCGGGCCGTTCTGTTCTCCATGCAGTGATAACTGACTTTGCGCCCTGAAAGTTTGTCCGAAATCCAAAAATGCCGGCGTCAGGAAATTGGGCTCGAGTTCAGGTGAGTGTTCCCTTACGTGGCGCACTTGAAAAAAGTTGATAAATTCTTGTAAAGCATCATTCCTTCAGTTCACCTACCCATCTACAAGCGTATGAGAAAATTATTTGCATATTTTTGAGCAGATTCTAAAGTGTTCATTCTGCGTGTCAGAAAAATTTGGAAAATTGGGTAAAAATAAAATTTCGTCAGAACTTTTTAGCAGATACACAAAATTGAAATTTATGAATTAGAATGAAAGGAATTTGATGAAGTTTTACTGATTGTGAAATTTAAGGTAAAAATATTGCTCTGTTAAAATGAAAGTGCGCCACATTAGGGAAAGTGCAACATTAGGGTACATCAACTATGAATAGGCCTGGGCTACTTCAAACAATCATCAGACCATGATAGTTGTTTAGGGCATAGGTAGCATGGCTAGCAAAAATTCCAAAAAGACATGAAGACTTCTGTTCTGGAGGCCCTGTTCTGAGGTAATAAGCTCACATTTAGCCCCATAAATCATGTGAATCATGGGGCCCAGGGCACTGAACTAGGCTCAGGCCTAGCCCAGGTTGGACATTGTCTTTATTTTCACTATGACTGACGTTTAGGGTATAAAGTCCTCCTGCCATAGCGAAATTTTTTTGATTTTTTTCTCATATTTTTACCTGAGGGAGGCAGCTCATATGTCGTTCACAAGTGCCTTGTATCCCAAATTCCATAAATGCTGTGTTGAAATTACTAAATATGCCCACAGACAATGTATTTTGCAGGAAATTTCGTGCAACTCCATGCTTTCCGTCGTGATTCATGAACGATCTATGTTTGTCTGGTAGTACGCGGTTGCGCATGTGCAAAATGCATAGCAACTGACCGCCCTTTACACACGTGCGGATGACATGACACTCAAAACATGCGAGTGGGAAGAAAACTCTCAGGTATCATGTGTAAGGGGCAAGTGGTTGCTATGCATTTCGCGCATGTGCAACTGCATACTTCTAGATAAACATAGATCGCTCATGAATTATGACGTAAAGTTGCACTAAATTTCCTGCAAAGTACGTTGTTTGCAGGTGTATTTATAAACATATAACAACGTATTTACACTACAACTTTGATCAAATGAAAGGCAAGCACTGTCGCCAACCAAATCTTGTCGTGCACTGGAGTGCTGCACCGGCCTGCTTGGCAAAATTAGTTTTCCCTCCAGAGTTGCCTTCAGCATGAGTCCGACTGAGATCAGCATCCAATCAAAATTTGTTTTGCATGGCCATTTATGACATCATTGGCCTAATATGGAACAAACGGGCATGGCTATTGGAGATTGGCAAACATAATGCTAAATCCGAATAAACATTTACATGTATATTAAGCACAATTGGATGTAGTGAGAATGTAGAATGATTGTGCAGCAGAAATGCCATATGTTGTGTGTTCTCGGTTGATTATTAGTGGATTCTCACCGTGTGCTTTTCACAACATCGCGTGATGCAGGGCCATCATAAGTTTACTGTACATGTATATGTACAGTTGTAGTACGTGTGTGCATGCCAAGCGCATGTGCCGAGTGCCGATGCAGCATAACTTGTTATTCATTTTTCATTGTGTTTGCTTTTTTATCAAGGTTTCTTGTGTGCATTCCGGGCACTGTCAATGCTGTATTATAGCCAAACATCCGTACCGACCTGTTTGGTTCAGTTCAAAAGTGCCACGTTTAATTATTTATGGATCGGTTCGACCGCAGTACTATCAGTGATAAAAAGTGCATCGATACATGAACCACAGGCATAAATCGTATATAAGAGATTGACATCAACTACACAATTTGTTGGGGTCTTTTTCAAACATGATGCTTGTGTGCTGCATGTACACCGTGGCACGTACTTATTGGGCTGAGGCACGATATATCATGCTGGTTGGCTGTGAGAAATTTCGCCATCCCAGCATATATCATGCTGGTTGGCTGTGAGAAATTTCGCCATCCCAGCATTTTGACAAATGTTGCCATGTGAGAGCAATTAAATTCCCTGTCAACATTTACTTATCAGTTTTCTTCCGTCTGAAAGAAATTCCACGTGAGAGCTATTAAAATCCCCTGTTGCCATTCAATTTGCAAAATATGTAGAGCCTTACATGAAACGTTTATTAAGTTGAACTACATGAAGTACTCTTAGCCAATCAAGAGCCAGAACCCATGGGTGAGCAGTAATAATATGCACCTGTTATCGCTCCATGCAGAGGTGTGAGAATGCAGCTTTTTAGCTGATTTCAGCATTTTTTAAAGGTTTTTTGTACACCTGATCTGTATGGGAACTTTTTACATTTCAGCTTTTTGCGATCTGTTTTCAGCGTTAGTTTTAGGTGCAAGTGGCCTCCCACACCCCTGTTCATGTCATGTTGCACTGATTTTTCAGAGGAATGAGAGGATGACACCATGAAGGCTGTGACAGTGGAAGGGAGATTCTCATGCCACCATTGCTCCAAGAAATGCCACAAATCCCATGTCGGACACATCAAACCTGCTGTCCTCTTCAAGAGCAGTGAGGTGTCAAGTTCTGTCACACAGCACCAATGCTTTTCAGCACTTCTTGAAGAGAAAGTGTGTGACGTAGATCTGGGACCTGTAGACCAAAACTGGTTTGAAAAGGCACTCAACAATGAAATAGGTGAGTTTAAAAGTACCCCCCAAAAGCTTTGTTTTGGATTGTTTGACTTACAGGTTAACAGTAATTTACTAAATCCTCTGGAATTGGCATTGTGTGGAAAACCAACAGAATTTTCTTCAGACTTAAACCTTCAAGAGGACTTCAAAATTCATGTAAAATAATAGTACTTGGTTCTACCCTTCTAAATCCTAATTCCTAGAAAAATTTCTGGTGGATTTGAAAACACCTGGATATGCTGATAAAAATGTGATATGTTTAGAATATGTTGTTTTGGTTATGTGAATTGATGCATGTATCGTTTTGTTTTTAGGCGTGAAGGAACTGCCAGACAAGGAGTTACAAGAACACTGCACTCATGAGCTTGAGTCCCAGAAGTTGGCTGGAGATATTACTGAAACACCTGTAAGGCATCATTACACAAGGGACAAGGTAGTCTTTCAATTCCTTCATCAGAAAAAGTGTTTTAATCATTAACCCTGACAATCCTGGATTCTCTAATTTTGAATACCATTTTGCATACACCCCAGAGTTTTTTAGATATTAAATATAGTAGTGAGAGAAAACCGTGTTTTGAAGAAGTGGTTATCTGAAGATTATTTGAAGGCCCGAGCAACTCACGTGGTATTACGATCCGATAAACTCCAAACTATTTAAGAATGGTAATTATTCTAAAGCTTGAATTTTATCCGATGCAACGAAGAAATCAAAGAAGATCACACTGATATACGACACAAATAAACAGTTTAAGTTAATGATAACGTTCAGACGTTACACTGGTCAAAAAAACTTGTTCTTCTGGGCAAAAGGATAAGAATGCAGAGTGGAAACAGATGCAAGCTCGGCTCATCCAACCAGGAAAATAGAATGCAGGCCTACCAGGCTAGGATTCACAAAAACATCATTTAAAATATCAGTATTTTTGGATTGTTTGCACTGATTCCAGTACAGTTGTGTAACGGTTCTTACGTTTGCTCATGTGCCTTGTCATGGGGGGCAGTCCATTCGTTGCATTACTGTTTGGGCTTGTCTGTTTACAGTAGTTTCTGAAAGTCCCATAACTGCTATTGCGACATAGGACAATTCTGAATTGGGACACATGGGGTATGCGGTATCTAACAGTTCATAGTGACAAGTCATTAAATGCACACCACAGATTAGAGGCGCCCGTCGGCTCATCTTGCTGTGCATGCAGCGCTGAAATGATGGTTTAAATGCATGAATTGGATTGTTGCGTGATGATAGCGCCATGGTTGTGCTTACAAGCAGCCAGTCTGTTGTGGTTAAGCACTATCAAGTGGGATACCTCTTGATCGATCAAAGACAATAAATTTGTAAGGTGAATGTCAGTCACTTTTTGTTGTTACTGGTTTCGGATAACTGGTTTTGAAATTTGGAACTGGATTGTAGAATCAAAACCTGATAACCGAAAATCCGGATTTGAGTCCCACCACTAGTTGAATAGCTTGTTGGATTTATTGAATTACTCTACGCTTGTTACACAGATGCGCTCTGAAAAATACCACACATTAGACTTGTATACAAGTCCAATGCAAGTACACTCTATATGTATTTTAGACAAGCTTTCTTTGAAGTAAATTGTCCCATTTGAACTGCATTAGTTTTTAGATGTAAAAGCATCTGGTAGGGTTTAAAATAGCCAAATATAAATATCCTTGTTAATGTAAAGTTCTCTTTCTGGGAAGACCAGTAAAGCTTTTCTAATTCTTAAAGGAAATTCAAACTGGCTGCATTGCTCTGTTGCACTGTTGTGTGTTCACGTGCAACGTATATATGAATATATTCATTTGTGAGGTACTCCAGTAATTAATGTTTTATTCACACATTTCATTATTCATAATTTCTTGATTTGTAGTATTACCCATCGACACCTCAGCTCATAACATCTCCTTGCCTGTTCACTCCCGACGAGCGACATCCTATTTCACAGCAAACTAAGAAAGAGCTTGATGAAAGGCAAGCATCATTTTCCACTTTGCAGCATGCTGCCAGAAACGGTGAGTGTTCCAACAGGTTGGTGGTTAAATACACATCTGAGGACTTGAGCAATTTTGTTGCTTCTGCTGAAAAAAAGGCACACAAGACAAATGGTCCACTTTCACAGTGTTGTGTTTGGCATTGTATTTATTGCTTGTGTGGCAGACATCAGCCCTGCAACTCCCAGCCTGATCCCAATAACTCCCAACCTGCCAGCAGAGAAGCGGAACCCGGCAACATGGACACCTGCCGAGCTAGATGCTGGCCTGTTGTCACAGGGCGGGGATCATGACCAAGAGGATCCCAGCCTGGGTGGGTGGTGCCCTGCCCACAAGCAGACCACGCCCACTTTCATGAAGCAGCTGTTTAAAACTCCCTCCACTGTGTCCAAACTGGACGACTATGCTTTTGCCACACCTGGGCAGTTTTTGGTGAGTTCTGTGACAAGGATTATTGCTGTCCAATTTTGCTGTTGTGTTTTGAGACATTTTTGCCACTATACTCCTGAACCCAGTTTTAAAGAGCTGCTGAGTAGAAAACACAATTAATGTTGAAAGTAATGTACCCCTTTCTGTAATGTTCAATGACATAAAAATTTTCAGCGGCAAACAACAACCTGTGTCAAAACAGTTATTTACCACTTCTCATCTTCCATCACATCATGTGAGCAATACTGTTCAAGGAGCATTGATATTTCATTTCTCACACAAAATTTCCAGACTTGTTGACGCAGGGATTTGTTGAGGTAAGCATTTATGCATTCTGTCAAACAAATATTGATTGGTCACGTCTGTGCAATGGGGAAAATAACTTCATTCGGTAACATATGGCTTGTTCCATTCCACTTGGCTTTGCTTCAGGGAATGGAACATGCCATCTGTCACCTCATGAAATTATTACCACTGCACTCATAAACATTTATTACTTGGGTATCATTGGGTATTATAATTTGTTAATGAAATCCCTTTGTGGTTTCATGCCCCCTCAGAGCACTCCTTTGCGGATGTCTGTCAGCCTTGGTGCAGACCTTGATGACTCAAATCTCTCCTGGACCAGCTCCCTAGCTACACCTCAAGGATCCACCCACAAGAAGACTAATGCCCTGATGGTGTCTGAGGGAACTACAGATCTAGAATCTACAGTGAGTATGATGTGCTTGAGTACTTAAGAACCCGAGTCATTTTCTCAACTGGTTTGATCTTATGAAGGTATTCTTGCTATTTGTGACATCTTTTACAAATGTGGTTTTATACATGTTCCTCAAGAAGTTCCCTAAATGTTGAGGTGCCACTCTGACGTGAGAGCAGACTGGAAACAATATTTGCATTAAAAAGGCACCTATTTAAAATCATGCATGTGTTGAATTAACAAGCAGTAACTTGACACTGCAGCTTTTTTAGGCATTGCTGGCTGAAAAATTTGGGACTGACAAATCTATATTACCTGAAAAGGATTATGTATAATTGAACTTTGCTCCTAGCACCTTTGTCACTAAACAATATTGATTTCTTTGGTATTAAAATAATTTGGGCTTATTGAATTAACTAATAGTGTCAAGTTAATATAATTCAGTGTTCATGCGGATGAACTAGTCTGATGTCTTGTAAAGACTCATTTGTAAATTCTATAAGGAATCATTTGCACATGATGAAATGATTTTGATTGTTTGAATATCTACAGGTCATTGCTAAAGCTCTCTTCACAAGTATGATTAACACGCCAGAAGATTACAATTTGGAAAGAAGGGTCTCTGAGCAAGACAGTCAGTCCAGCACCTTGCATCTCCAAAGCCTCCACATTTCATCTGCGGAGGAAGAGGAGGAGATGCTTGAAGATACAATAGAAAGTGACAGTGCAGAGGATGGTTCCAAGGAAAATAACGTGGAAGTGGGAGATGCTCGGAAAGAGACAGAGAACTCTGGAGGAAGGAGAATTGAGATTGGTGAGAGTTGCGACGTCTCAGAACATTTTGTTCTTGGAACCACGGATGCCACCACGGGAGAAAGGGAAAGAGAGCAAAGGATAGCACATGATGGGAGCCAGGATGAGGCTGATGGTGTTAAGAGAAAAGATGGGGCGGACACTGTTGATGAGGAACAAGATGATGTTGAGGGAGCTAAAGATGAACAAGATTGCCTTGCGCCACCATGTAGTGTACAAAATGCTCCAAACTTAACAGTAGATGATATGATAAACCATCCTACAGACAACAGGTTGTGTGGCATGGAAGAGTCTCTGAGATCACTTGTCTCAAACAGGGCTCAGGATGACATTGATTGCATAATCAGGGATAAACATCCGGCTCTTATTCCAGCAACAGAACTCACTCTCTGTAATCCAAGAAGTGCATCCCCAGTTGAACCCTCAGTTGCAGCTCAAGGATTTAAGCAGTGCAGTGACAAACCGCAGACCGACAGTCAGAATTCATTGGAGAATCTCACTGCCAGTGATTCTCAAGTCCTCAACAGGTTAGATCGGTCAGGTCTGGATCACAGCCGCATGGAGGACACCCTGGCTTTCTTCTTCCTTACTCCTCCCCAGACTAGGAGCAGACTTGCAAAGCTTAAGATAAAAAAATTGGCCAAATGTAGTCCAAAAGTACCTGATTCAAGTCTTCATGACAAGAGCAACTCAAAGTCTGGTGGCCCACCGTCAACATCTCTTGAAGCACACAAAATCCTGCAAATAGCAACAAGAACTTCTGATGATGAACTTCTTCCTGAAAGAGCAGATTCAGTGCAGACAAAGGCAAACATTTCTGTGATAAGGTTGAAGGAAGAAGATGGTTCCTTGAAGGAATCTCTGGACAACCTATCAGAATTAACACCATGCCTGAAGATCACAAACCCAAGCCTTGATGAGAGTCTTTCTAGCCTTCCTTCCAAAGAGGAAAAGGCTCCAATATGTTGTAGGTTTGACGAAGACAGAGGAGATAGCATGTTGGATGACTGCATTGAAGACTTTAAAGATGCAGTTGCTGGTTCTCCAGCAATCTCGGCTCTCCCATCTTCATCCTCTAAAACAGGTGCAGGGGATGTTTCTTCTCAGACCTTGTTCATCCAGAATCTTGCCGGTATAACTCCTGTAAGACAGACACAAGCATTGGTCTCACCACCTTACATTAACAGTCCAGATATGTTATCTCAGATCTCGCCAAACTTTGCCGAAGCCCTGTGCCTCATCACAGACCAAGTGTCAGAATCTCACTTTGCACATGTGTTATCTGCAGTGCCGGGAGACTTCAAGGAAGAGGCAACCTCTCATCCACTTCCTCCACCGGGCTTCACTGTTTCATCCACGTCTCCATCATTGCCACCACAGCATGATAGGAAGCTCCCACCTGCAGTTAACCAGTGCAGTTCAGAACAAAAGATTACCTCTGAACCAGCAGGTAAGGGCCAAACGAGTACTCCAAAGAGCCCCTGCAACCAGGACACCCCCAGCCAACTGTTCAGAATGCAGTCCAAAGCGGCCACTTCAAGGAAGTTCTTTTACCCGTCCGCTGCCAAAGCCGCTACCAAGACCAGCAACCACAAGGCCATGCAGTGGGTAGCTGATGCTGTCCTTGTGAACGCAGAGGAAAAGCAACAGCAGCAGGTGGGTCAGGTGACTTCTTCAAAGCCTATCCAGGAGGAATCAACAGTCAAGAAAGTAAACCAGACCCCTGCCTCAGTTGGGACAGGCAACATCTTTTACAGCAGCACCCCAGCTCCAAGAAATTCAGGTAAAACATTTACTGTTACTTGCTATTTTTGAAGGGATATCTGAAGAGAGACCATCAACCCTTATACTGTTGGCCTTCTCAAAACATATTTCCAACGTTCTTGAGCTGACGTGCATATGCACGCCTTGAAGTACCTTTCACAAAGCACCTAGACTGCATGAAACATTTCAGATGAAATGTTCTGAAGTTCAAAGTACTATATAGGCGGCACAGGAATGACAATTTAATAATCTTAAGTTGCAGAAACTTACAAATAATTTCAAGGCTTGAAAATCTCTCTTGAAAATTAAAATGCAGCTAACGACAGATTTATTATGAATTCAAAGATTTTTATTTAAATGTACATGTAGTTATAGAACCTGAATATGTAGTTATCTACAAATCCTCAATTTTCCTCTGGATGTAAATTTAAAATTTTACCAGCAGTTTTAATAGTAGTTGTATTTCTGTAATGTTTGGTGATAGGGATTGACCCAAAGAACAAATCAACAATTTTTAAGAAACAATGCAGAAACCTTTCTTTGAAGAGAACATGTTTTATTGTTGATGGTTTTATAAAAGTCTTTCACAGATTTAAAACATTGACCTTCAAAACTACATGTAAATGTGTTTTGTTGTGAACAACTTATACTTTTTTCCTGAAGAAGATTGACATGAAGTTGTCAGTTTTTCTACCCTTAAAATGTTTCATTTATTTGAAGAATTAACAGACATCTTTACCTATTTTTGCTGTACTTATGACTTAAATCTTGTGTGTTCATCCCCAGCATTTGTCACATTCACCAACTTTATTAAGTCTGAGAGAACCTCTTCATCTGAGACATCGAATCCAATCTGGTTGACTCCTTCAGATGACACTGCCACCCAGGCATGCTCAAAACTAAATGAACAAGCAACTCACAGCAGCAAGCTGGCAGAAAAGCAATCCAACTCCAGCATCACTGCCAATGAGACCACACCTCTGAGTGGAAGGACGCTGGCTCCAAGACATAACCCCAGTTACGGTGGGATCAGACGAAGGGCTGGTACCCATGGTTTGCCTGCCCCCAAAAGGTTAAAGACTGCAATAGAGGTTGATGAGGAAAAAACTTTACCCGGTGAAATGGGAAATTCAATAACACCATCCAAAGGACCTCTGGCAGAAATTATTCCTGAAGATTCTGGTATCAGTACATCTGCCAGAGAAATACACCAAGCTGAGACTTCTGATGAAACTATGCCCTCAAGCAGTAATGTCAAAGCCTCAGTTGTCTCAGGGCATAGACTTGAACGTGGAATCCGAAATATTGAGATTGTTGCAGAGAAACATTGCACCCCTGCAGAACCAATCATTGCCAAACAAGTGACAACTCACATGGAATTATGCCCCAGCAAAAGCAGAACAGGTGTTACACCTACCTCAGTGAGTTTTGCCTCAGCCAGTGGCAAGCCCATTAGCATATCAGATTGTGCATTGGAAAAAGCAAGGAGGCGTTGGTCTGAATTTCAGGAAGAGGGCATTCCTGATGCTGCTTCCTTTTCGTCAGCAAGTGGTAAACCAATTCAGATCTCCAAATCTGCCCTTGAGAAGGCTGCAGCTTTGTTTAATGAAAACAGTAGAGAGAAAGGTGATCATTCAAGAGCTGGTTTCAAAGAAAATTGCACAAGCACGTTATCAGCAAAGGTTCGATTGACTTCATCCCATGGAAGTTTTGCCAAGGTTTCTGACTCTGCCCCCCAAAAATCCCTTGACAATCAAAAGAGGGTCTCGTCCATAAATTCTGCCTATGCTGACACAGCTACAGTCCTGGATTTCACTAACACAGTTGGCCCCAGTGTGGATAGGACAAAAACTAATCCAAAGGAAAAAGGCATGCAACCTGCTGCAGAAAATAGGAGCAGTGACACTGACATAGGTGATCTTGCAACCACATCAGTCACCGTCTCCGTTAAACCCAACCAGCTGCTTCAAATTGATGAGACAGAACAAGTCGAACAAAATGTAGTTTGTAGAGAAACTACCAGTTGCATCCCTAAAGTGGATTCAGAATGTGATGGGCAAACAGCAAAGAGGGTTCAATGCGACCAGGTGCCATCTTTTAGTGGATTTGCCTCAGCAAGTGGCAAAGCAATTTCCATATCTGAAGCTGCTTTGCAAAGAGCCCAAAAGCTGTTTGAGGATGAAGGAAGTGAAAATTCGTCCTCCACTGGATTCTCCTCAGCTTCAGGGAGACCAATCCAAATATCTGAGTCTAACTTGAGGAAGGCAAGAGCCCTAATGGATGATTGGGAAGACGCCAGCTGTCATGTATCCAAGATGCAGTCTCAACCGCCCAATCAAACTTCATTCCAGCGACAGCAGCCAAATCGTCAGACAAACAACCAGAATCTTTCCAAGGGTTTCAGACCATTCAAGGCTCCAGCAAGAGTCCTTACTCCAGCTAGACAAAAGACTCTAGTGAAAGAAATAATCCATGCTAGATATTCCAAAAACGAACCCCAACTTGAAGCAGGGACACATGATCACAAGGTGGTCCATGGTGTGATAGGTTCAAAGAATTTGGAAAGTATCCCAGAATCTCACATCCTGGAGTTGTCCCCAGGGGTTCCAAAAGAGATGAAAAATACAGCGTCAGAAAACTTGGACTTTGAGGAGGAGTTCCTAAGTGCCAGCCAGGCCCAGAGGGAAATAGAGGCAGCTGAAGAAACCGAGTCTGCTTATGCCTTCATGCAGGCCGAAAATGACAGCTTCTCCCAGTTTGAAGAGACTGTTGTCAACAACTTTGTCTCAAGTAATAACAAGATTTTAGGTTGCCTTGATGTAAGAGAAAATTTAGTGGCAGCTGCTCAGAATGCTCACATGTCTGAAGATCGAAAAGCTGATGTTCCTGATGATGAAGAGCATGGCAATGGCCCTTCCGAACTGCAGTCAAACCAACCAAGTCAAGTTTCTTTCCAGGCTTCAGGTGCTCTGGACATAGCTTTTGTTCAATCCCAGGGCTCAGCTGTTGGGGAAGGGGAGACTCAAGGAGCAATACAGGCAGATCGTCACCAAGAGGAAGGCTTAATTAAATCGGAACATCAAACTATTGTCCTTTCTGGCAATATCACAGCAGCTGCCTCTGTCAACTTAACAGGCAACTCCTCAAAATCTTCACATGCGGTTGAGGGACCCTTTGAGGGTTTTCAAACGGCCCGTGGAAAGAGAGTAACTTTTTCGGAAGAAGCACTGCAGAAAGCCAAGAGCCTGTTGGACCTAGAGCTAAATTCAGAGGTTTGCATACCTCTGGAACCTACAAGAATGTGTGGGACATTAGGAAAGGCTTTCAACCAGAATGCTAAAACATTAATTTCTGAAAAAACAGAGATGATTGATCAGCAACTGCAGAATGATGAGGCACTGGATTCTACAGTTAAAAAGAGCATTGGGGAATCAGCTCAGAAGAGCAGAGCAGTGTCCAGTGATGCATACGACCGGTTGATTGCAAAGAGCACACCAGCCTTTTCTGGATTTCACACTGCTCAAGGTGGAACTGTAAGAGTATCTGAGGAGGCTTTGAGAAGAGCAAGAAGTTTGTTGTCTGAAGAGGAGGTCAGTGATTCTCATTTTCTGCCTGTAAATACTCAACCACACAAAGGCGTTGTTCACAACCCAATTCCAGATTCTTTGGTAAAAGACTGCAAGTGGAAAGAATCCACAAATCGTGACAGTCCCAAAGCAGTGGATCAAACTGATTCTGCCTTCAGTGTCGGAAGTCAGACAACCAGAGGAGAAACTGACATCATCTCTGAAGCTTCGGTAACAAGAGCAAGATATGTCTTGCAAAAATCAGAACAGACATTAAAAAATCAGGAGCTCTGTACCAGGAAGCATGCTGTCAGTGCAAGTGGAGATGCCGCCGTACCATGTGGCTTTACAACTGCCAGTGGCAATAAAGTCATAGTCTCGCAGGAGTCTTTACAGCAAGCTAAGGCCCTTTTTGAAGATGAACAAGTTGTTTTCTCTACTGACAGTATCACTTTAACAGCTCAAAATAATCTAAAGAGACAACAGCCATTTCCAGGTTTCTCAACAGCCAGTGGCAACAAGGTGTCAATATCAGAAACTGCCCTGGAGAAAGCAAAAAGGCTTTGCAGAGATACCGAGGATTTCAGAGTGCCAGATGCGTTTGACAGGGAGTATTCCAGCCTTGACCGGAAAAGAAGACGAGTGGATGGGAAATCTAAGGATACCATCTCCTTGGGATTCCAAACTGCCAGCGGGTGCCCCGTCTCCATTTCAGAGGCCTCTTTACAGACGGCAAAGCAACTACTGGATGAAACTCCAGAATGCACAAACCTGTCTCTTCAGGCTTCTGTCGGATTCCAGACAGCCAGTGGAAACAAGGTCTCCTTGTCTGCCGAATCGTTAGCAAATGCCCAAAGATTCCTTGCAGATGCAGAGGCGGCCTCAGAATGTAACACAGCAGGAGACCAGAGGAATACTCTCTTTGGATTTTCAACAGCGAGCGGAGCCCAGGTCTCTGTTTCAGATGTGGCCCTAGAAAGAGCGAGGAAGCTACTCCAAGATCCCGGCGATAGTTTGCAAGTGGCAGTGGACACTGAAGGAACAATGTCAGCCTCAGATTTCAATGGAGGTGCTAATGCACTCTCAAATCGAGCTGCCACTGAAGCTGAGGTGCATTGGGGAGACAATAGCTCTGATGCAGTTGTTCCAAAGCTTGGAGGAAAAGGGAGCAGGACCAACTCTTCACGTCACTTAAATTTCAAGACAAAGAGTAAGCATAGTTCAAAATGTATCATAAAACTTTCTCACAAAAATTCATTATTCCAGACAATCACAATTAGATCTAACTTTGGAATAACTCTGGAAAGGGAAATGGAAATTTGTAGCATGTTATCTGTCTAAAACTTCATTAGACAAAATCTAATCAAAACAAATCAAATCAAAGGAGCGTATTGTTCAAATGGACAAAAGCTGAAATGGACATTATCGATGCTCTCCTTTTCAACACATTTGTAGGGTTTCTCATTTGTCCATCCTCAACCATTTTTTATAAAGGAATCAAGTTTCAATCAATTCTATATACAGGAATTCCTTTGATGGTTTATGTACTGATCATACACATGGTTGAATCAGGTGCCTGATTAATGGGCCAAGTTTGGACAATCACCTTTTTTCCTGTGCTTAACTTTTTTGGTATTGAACTTCCCCATAAAAGGCGTCAAAGAAGGGGAAAACTAAGAATGAAACTTTCAAGGCTTTAAGATAAGTTTTAAGTTGTACACTAAATCATGTTGTTAAAATTGCATTCTACAGTTGCTATTACCAACACTTCCAGCTTACACCAGGGACATTCATCACCACAACATAAATCATTCCTCCATCAAAGGTATGGTTCTTCTTTTTTGTTTTAAATTGTGGATTGAGATAATGGTCATGAACTTCTGCAATAAAGGATTTGCTTACACCAGGACTGGGATTCTTTTAAACAATGGTATCACCTGCAATTTAATGTTCATAGGCTTGTCTTGGCACTCTACTTAGATTAGTTTATTGCTTCTTATCCATAAATATCTTGGCATCCATTCATTTAACCAGACGCTGGTAACAGATAGAAAGGTATTCTTTATAGATTGGTTACTTTGATGATCTCACAGATTACTTAGTCACATGTAGCTACATGCGCATTCATGTGTACATGTACAGGGCTTGCATCAGTAGTGTCGTTCTCAGCAGTGGTGTTGGTTTCACAATAAATAGGCTCTTTTCTTCCCATTCTTGTTATCTGATAAGTTTGTAAGTTGTGCATTTCATCTACCAACAGACTCACAATGCGCTTTACGCTATGTTTACGCTTTCCGCTATCTCTGATGATTGTTCGCTTGACATTCCTGAAGCCATGCCAGTTTGCTAGGAAGTAGACAGCTCAAATGCAGCCATTTCAGGTGCAAATGGCTAAGCAAACACAGAAACCATCTCTGTCCTCGCAGGTTCAAATTTATATTCCTGGGTGGAAAGAGGCATGTAGGGCTAAAGTGACTTGCCCAAGGTCACAACATGTACCCGGCTGTGGACTCGAACCCCTATCCTGTGACTGGGAGTTATAAACTCTAACCATTAGGCCACATGGCATCTGCAGTGAAGTTAGAGTCCCAAGGCAAATTACTCTCAGAAGTTAGCAAGGTCCATCCAGATAGAATAAGAATTAACAGATCAAGATTTAGCCTCGGTGAGTTCAGCTACATGTAGTGTCTCAAGTTTGACTTATTTTCCAAAGTTTTCCTAGTTTATTTCAGTGTTTCACCTTTTACCTTAGGTCATTTGAGTTATACTTATGAAGGAAATTGTTTAAAACAGTTGCACAATAAAATGATTTTATTGATAATTAAATTAGTTCCATTAAATTAATTTATAATTAGATTATATTTAGGCTTACATGTGATTTGTAAACTTTATTTTGAATGTTCCTTTGATTTAGATGTAACAGCACTAGATATTATTGAATTATACTTTGAAGAATTGTATTGAGGTGTAAGCTAAATCTATTTAGTGATAACTTCATGTATGATTAAGATTTAAATGAAAAGTACATGTATACACTATATAGTACTGTTAAATGTATGGTAGGAATTTTTCTGTGCAATTTTAGATATCATTTCTTAGAAGTACATGTATTGTTGTAAATCATGTCATTGATTTGACTTACAGGTCATCTGCTTCATTCACACGACAAAAAAAGGTCACCTCAGGAAAAGCTCCAACAGCTTTCCGACCCCCCTTCCAAACAGCACAGCTCCAAACCCGACAGTCTGGGCCAAGGCCAGGCAAGTCACAAGGTGGCCTCCAGGTTGTCCCTCAGGTATCTGTCCCATTTCTGCCACCGAAATCCCAAACACCCTCCATGGTCAATACCAAGCAAGTGGATGCACAATCAAACAAAAGAACATTGGACTTGGACATAGACAGCCAGCAGGCTGGTGGTCCTGAGCCAAAAAGAGCTAGACCTGAGGTGGGTATGGAAGGAGAGTCCGCTGCATCGTTTGATGGAAAGAGCAAGACGGTTTCAAGCACTAAAGAAGAGATGGGATTGCCTAAAGGACTGTGGGAGAAAGCAAGGAAGAAGCAAGCATCTAGGATTCAGATCAAGAAGGTATGATGGTTGGAACAGGAATAATTATTCAGTAATTTGTTGCCATTTAAGCTGCAATTTCATTCATATGCTTCAAGCTGATGTATTACTTATTTATTGACGTAGTAAAGTCATTTGAGAATTGCAACCATGTGGACATGAGTCTTCCTGTCAGTGTACATGCATGTCTCCCATTGTAACCCGTGCTCTTGAAATGACATACCTGTAATGTGGAAACAAACAAAAAAGAACTAGGTTTCTTTTATCAATTTTGTTCTAGATCCAAGTGATCACACCACAGCCAGGGGAGCTCTTCATTAAGAGGCAACAAGAGACCAGACTGCCTCTGCACGAACTCGTCGATGGCCAACCACCTCAGCACTATGCCAGAAATCGGGTGAGAGTTCTTTGTCAGAATTCCTTCAGAACTTATTCTTTGTACATGTACATTTAGTTGTCTTATTGGTGTTTCCAGAGTTTCACCTTTATCTTCCATCAGAAATTTCTTGCTCTGTGAATTTGCATTTTGCAATACTTGATAATTCTTGTGGAAAAGAATGATCATTTATGAAGTTGTCAGATTGACGGATGTATGAAAACGGTTTTCTAATAAATTTTGAGGTATTTGTTCAAGATTGTTAACAGCTTATGAGGTTTTTAAATAGAGTTAATGAAATACGTTCTATGAAACACCTGTGTTGTTCAGTTTAAAAGGTACGGTAATATGCAATTACATGGTAATAACTCTTTTTAAGTCTTTGAAACAACCAAACCTTCAAACAGTCATTAGTTAAGGACCAAAATTCCAAATTACGTCGAATAAAAGCTTAGTTCTTTCCATTTCAAATACAGTAAATTCTCGATAACTCAAAACCGGTTAACTCGAATGTACTGTGCGTGTACCTGGATGTGTGGGCAAGACTCAGGAAGTTTCATTAACGCAAATCAAATTTTTTATCCATTCCCCTGAGGTTCGAGTTATCGAGAGTTTTTTTATACTGTACTATCTTTGGTAACCATCGGTTGCAGTTAAGTCATGAACTAGCAAGCTCTGTTTTGCTGTTTACTAACTCTGTTATGCATGCTGTTAAACCAGGTTTAAAGTTTTATCTGTTAAAATTTTCCGTCATGCTCCCGTGTGGTGTTCTAATTCTCCACTTGTTTTTCATCCAGCTGGTTGAGAGTGGCATTATTCCCAGCACCCTCTCTGTGACCTCATCCACAGCGGAAGCCTTCAGGTTCTCTCTGAGGGATCAGTGCAGCCCTGAGGCCCTGAAGACCAGTGAAGGCTTGGTGCTCGGTGATGGGGGTACCCTGGTGCCTGATGATGCAGGCACGGCAGGCAAGGAGGAGTTCTTCAAGTGAGTGTCTGTGTTTGCTGGATGATCCCTGTCTAGACTGTCAGATGTAAACTTTGTCGCTACATCATCTTCACACTGTTTTCAGATACTATGGCCGTGTCCGAAACGGGCTTTTAGAGCTATGGCTAGGTCTATTGTCTACGCGTTTCCACACATTTCTACTAGAGCGAAGACCTAGACAATAGATTCGGATGCAGCCTGTGTCTCTTGTGATAGCACAGTAGGGATTGTAGCAATGCAGGAGTGTATACACTCAAAGTTTTATAATTATTTAAAATGCTTTGACACATATCAAATAGGATGTCAAACAGAGGATTGACAAAGTAATCAAATGATCCGATTAGTGGTTTTGAACAATCATGAAAAGTACTTACAGGACCATTATATTACATCATTGAGTGTTATCAGTGTGAAATGACATGCTCATTAGAATGAATCAGTCATTTTTTGTTATGTGTATACACAAAAATATCTACACACTGTCTTGCAAACTGTCCCTGATGCACCCTCATGTTCTGTCCCCAGTGTTGATATTCATGTAACATGGGAACTTTCCCGTCTTCTCAGATCTGACTTTTCTAACAGGTGTCGTCCACGTCTTTTTTAAAAATTGAAGATAAATTTTTAAATTGTAAATGCCCTAGGGGATTGATTTCTTGAGTGTTTCCCAACTGCAACTTAACCCTAACCCTACATAATACTACAAACTACTAGTTGTAGTAAAATGTAGTATTCAACCCTGTCGCTTGTAAGAGGACATGACTTCTGTGAAGCCATAAGATACAATAGATAAGACATTGTACCATGCAGTGCTGTGGCACTATGAATGCATGGCTTTATTGTTCTCTGTACAAGTAACAATGGAAGTAACCTAGCCAGAAATATTTGTAGCGCTAGGTCCTTCAGGCTCACACTACTACTTAGTATTGTGTAGTACTGAGTAGTGTAAGCCAAACAATATGCTTGGCTAGTTTGCTAAACCTTTTTCCTTTTCCTCATGTAGCGCATTGCTTGATACCCCTGGAGTGGACCCCAAGTTACTGACAGCTGACTGGGTCAGTAATCACTACCGTTGGATTGTTTGGAAACTAGCTGCCATGGAGAGAGCATACCCACAACATTTGGCTGGAAGGTAGGACCTGAAGTAAATTTGGGCCTTTGTTCCATGCTACGTCAAACAAATAATGGTGTATCTTGTTTAATATGCACCAGAGAGACATCTAAAGAAATTTCAAGGCAAATGCATGCCCTGCCTAAGCTTGTTCTGATCTTTTGGAAGGAAATGTGTACAAGAGTGCATAAAAGTGGAAATCACTTTTTTTCACACTCACATATTGTTGCTTGGAAAGAATCTGACACATGGACAATGAATAGGAGCCCTCAACAGTTTTCAACAGTGTAATAACCATTTTCATCACAGTTCAAAAGTGATTGGTGCATCGAAGTAAAGAGCTCAGTTTATGTCGTTGCAAACTGAAACAGTTACTTTTAGAAATGGCCTTAGGACTTGCTTTTTGATGTGTGTGATTTGTTTGCCCAACAAGATACCTTTTGCTACGTGACAAAATGCACTCTTGCTGATGCATGGAGGCCACTTGTTGAAGGAGCATTAAATAGTATGAATATAACCTGTCGGTGTGGTACCACATCCAATTTATGGATTCTTATCGTGATGCAAAGTTTCAATCAAGTATTTTCTAAATGCCAAGTAAAATGGTGTGGATCAAGTTATATAAGACAGACAGCAAGTACTTTCAAAAGAAATTAAGGACTTTGGACACCAGGATCTTGTATGAGCCAAGGTTTTAAAGACAAAGGCATCCTGAAAGTACTTGCAAAGCATTTTTCCAGTCCTGCCCCCAAAGTGTAACTGGAACATATTTTCAAGTATCCAAAGGTACCATTTTATCATTTTTCACTCTAGCCTTGACTTAATTCGCTGTGTGCTGGCTTTATTGACTATTTCACTCTTGGGGTTTGTGGCAGGTTGTTGACGCCTCACTGGGTCCTGCTCCAGCTGAAGTACAGGTATGACAGGGAGATTGACCTTGCCCAGCGCTCCGCCCTCAAGAAGATCTTGGAACGAGATGACACCCCATCAAGAAGGATGGTTCTGTGTGTAGCTGGTATCAGTCTTGCAGAGACAAGTAAAGTAGCCAGTCCAAATCAGGAGGACACCAGTGGAAAGGATAATGTGAAGGTAAATATGTCAAGTCACTCTGAATGTGTCAAGTCAATCACAAGTAATTCAACAAGTTCATGTCTTCATGGATTGCCTTGGATTCATAAGGCTTTTAACAGCACTGTAATGACAGTTTCCATTACAGAAAACAACTCACCTCTGTTTACCTACATTTGCATATCAGAGCGCATGCACGACAAACCTCGCTGCAACCAAGCCACATCCTCCGTGCCCACTGCATGTCCGAATACAAAAGGTCGTGTAGCACTGAGACTCGTCCTAGTTTTTTTCATTGTTGCATGCTGCATCTTGTAATTACATAAGTCACATCAATGTCCGCTACAATGTCCTACTAAGTGGTTATTTTGTAGCTTTGGTCAGGTAAGGGTTCAAGACAGACCCTCTGGTTAGAAGAACTGGGCTCCTGTGTGCGCTCTGCGACTTGACATGTAAAGACCATGCTTTTGAGTGTAAATTGCTTGTGCGTACCCAGTGTACCCCGCGTATGCGCCTTTTAAGGCATCTTTCCTTATGTGTGTTTTTGAGAGCATTGCTTGCATGGTGTGTTCATGTGTTTCACTTCCAAAGACACACAATTCAACTCTGTTCACATGAGGCACGTGTTCGTTGCATTTGGCTGTCGGGGTTGCTCCGGGAGTGATTTTGATGGACATGCGGTGCATAGTGAAAGGCGCCTTAACTTGCACCTACGCAATTCGTTAGGATTGTCTTTTTCATTACAACCCTCCCCCAAAACTAACAACAGAACAAACGAACACACTCTCTTTTCCTCTCACTCGGAGCAGATATTCCTCAACTCATTGCAGCTCTAGTCCCTGTACCGCTGCGCCTTTCTTAAAAGAAAAATTAGTTAGGCTTTGGATATGTGCCACCTTGTCTGAGTATTTCTTGAACAAGATACATGTAGTGTCAACACACGACACCGCGCAGTGGGGCAAAGTGCTGGAACCGAAGTGCCCCTGATTGGTTACCATTTATTGTTCACTAAATTTCAGCGTAGTGGGGTGGCCATCACTTTACTTAAGGTAGCCTTAAGGTAAGGTGGGTTCAGTTTAGACTGCGTTGCCCTGCATGTCCCTTCCCTCCCAGATTATTATGTAACTCTGCAAATGTAGAGGTGAGTTGTTTTCTGTAATGGAATTCCCAAAACCTAAGGGGACTTTTCCATTCTAGTAAGAAAACATTCACCTCTGTTTACCATCCCTCCCTGTTCAAAAAACCAAAAACAAAATGAATAAATAAAACTGGGAGAGAGATCTAAAAAACCCCCAAAACAAACTAGGATGGGTCTCAGTGCTACACTGCCTTTTGCACTGGGACATGCAGTGGGCGTGGAGGGTGTGGCTTGGGCGACTTTTTCAGCGAGGTTTGTTGCATGCGCGCTGATATGGAAATGTAGGTAAACAGAAGTGAGTGTTTTCTTACAAGAATTGAAAATCCCCTTGGATTTGGGGAAAATTCTAGTAGAATCATGCAATTGTTAAATTCTATTCTAGAAGCTTGTTTATCATATTGCTGTTATTTCAATGAATGCAGTGAGTTGGGAAGTTTTGTAACCTGTAGTACCTGTTGGTAACAAGGGCTATTGAATCAATTACAATTTAAAACAGTAAAAGATAGCACCTGTTTTCACAGAGATGACTGTATGCAGTCAAACAGCATTGATATGATTTCTTTCATAGTGAAGTTACTTCCTTTCATTGTCCCTTTCTGGTCTAGATTTCTGGCTCCGCTGTCCCTACCCTTGAGTTGACAGATGGTTGGTATTCCATCAAGACAATCATTGACAAGCCCCTTGCTGGGCTTGTCTGCGCAGGCAAGATCCACATAGGCCAAAAGCTGTGTATCTATGGAGCAGAGCTTGTGGGATCACAGGATGCCTGTTCGCCGCTAGAGGTAGGAGGCTTTTCCAATAATGTATTAATGTACAATTACTGAGCATTTTAGTCCACTGTTAAGACAATTATTCCTGTGAGGGATGTAACCAGAACTCAATAGTTATTCAGCTATTTTCATGCTTCCATGTTAAATGGCTTATTAGGGAATTAAATTAACCTCTCTGAAATAGGCAGTGACATGTATAAGTGCTCATAGACTTGTTGATATCAATGTAACTATAGCAGTAATGATATGTAGGTAGTGCCCCTAGTTTGTTACTTAGTCAGGTGATATGATGCATCCACTTAGATTGGTCTGTAGTGCTTTGTTTTAGTGTTGCCATCCATTTGCAGTCCCTATTCTGTATCATTTGAGGCTTTTTCTATTCAAAATAGTTCATTAGATGATTGTTTAAAAGTGCTTGACAAGTCATCATGTAAAATCAGTTGTGTAACTGCACAAGTGTCTTTGGCCTCATCCAAAAGTTACGGCTTCAGTTGGAAATGGTATGTCACATGTGGAAACCAGTGGCTAGTGGCCGCTATGTTCTCTCATAGACACAGGTATTACACTTAGCCACAGCCAACTAATTTGGACAAAACCTTTTGTTACTGTTACTAGGTGCCAGCGAACCTTAGGCTGAAGATATCAGCCAATGCTACCCGGCGCGCTCGCTATGACGCCCGCCTGGGTCTCCAGCATCATCCCCAGCCCTTTTCCCTCCCACTTGCTTCGCTATACCCCGAGGGCGGCACGGTGGGTTGTGTGGACGTGGTGGTTGTCAGAAGTTACCCCATGCAGGTAAAGTGTTGTTGGATAGTTAGCATCACAGTTAGGTGTTGTCTTGTTTTCAGCAGTAAATGATTTGTTTACTCTCTTTATTTCTCACTTTCCCTCTGTCGCACAGACCAGGTTATACCATATGCTACAGTTGTTTCGATGTGACGTTAAAAGGCTCTTTCTCTCCCGGCAATCTTTCTAGTTCATGGAGAAGCCCAGCAAAGGGGGCTGCACTTTCCGAGGGAGGCGGGCCGAGGAAAAGGAGGCTGCAAGGTTTGCCTCGGAGAAACAGCGGCGGATGGAGAAACTTTACAATCAGATACATGAGGAGTACCAGGAGAAGGAAAACAAGAAAGGTAACAAAGCAATTGCCTTCTTTAACTCCAACATTTTGTGCCGAGCATCTTCCCCAATCCTTCAGAATCATCCAGCATGTACATGTAGGAAACCCATGGCGCATTCTTGTCATCAAACCTTTCAACTGGCATCAAGTACCATGCAAGGTAATAGTGACTGGGCTTTACTTTCCTTAATGTAAATCTTCCAAAGTGGCCAGGAGGATTTTGAAGGATATGGGAGTATTGTTCCAATTTGTTAGGACACCTTGTGCATGCACCCCCCCGGCATTTCCAAATGCATATGGCTGGCTTGTACGCATCCAGATGAAAATTAGGCATCCATGTGTCCCCCAGATAGAGCTCTGTGAGCAGTTTCACTGTGCCACTTACCGTAGATTGCTGTCACAGTCCTCTTAAAGGGACCAAACTTATTTGAGTGTTACATCCGCACAACACTGTTATTGGTGCATCCATATTTTGTAATTTTACACTGCACACCCTACATCTGTGATGCTGTGAAATGGTGCGTATCAACAAAATCGTCTACCTATCTAAATTCTATAAATTTTCACAATAAATAATTGTGTGTTTATAGATGCACAGTAATTTTAATTTGGTTGGTCAACTTTGCTGTTTCCCCCATACATTCTTTGTGTAATGCTAGCAAAGCACATGCACTAGCCTGTAGGCTATTTGGATGCACTTTGGACATGCAAATGTAAGCATTTTAAAGCGAAACATAGGAACTCTGTCGTTGAAGGCAAAAAAAAAGCAATTCCTTAATGCTGATCCAAATCCGTATATGTTGTTCCTAGTGAATTCAAGCCGACGGTCCTCTTCAGCCCAAAAACTAGCTGCCAAAGATCTTGGGAAACTCCAGACGGGACAGGAGCTCTACGAGGTGCTCAGCGATGCTGTGGACCCAGTGGCCATTGAGGTGAGTTCAGCATCTTAAGGAGCATTGGTCAGATCATATACCTGCTTGAAGATTTGTCTGAGTGAATAGCATGGTTTTAGCACCCATAATATCCTTTAGCCACGTCATTATATTTGTTTGAAAACATACTTTTAAAGTACGCAATTTAAGTACTTTGGTTACTCTGGGTGTGGACACTCACTTTGTGAATACTGTCTAAAACTCTGTTGAGTTGTCATGTAGGTGGACGTTACTGAGTTCTCTTGAGTACCTCAAAGTCAGGTCCATGTAAATTAGAAAAAGGCCATGAAATACAGATGAATACAGATCTAGGATTACATACGGTTTTCTTGCAAGTTTTTGGTTGCTTCCCTCGCATGGCAGGCATTATTGTCAGAGAGGCAGGTGGATCGGTTGCATGACTACCAGCGCAGTCTACATGAGAAGAAGCAGGCCGACTTGCAGGGACGGTTCAAACGGGCCTTGGAGGACAAACAACAGGTAAATGAATATCAGTCATGTGAGTGATTTTTTTTACTGATGTTTACGTGAGGCATGCCTATTGAAATTATTTGTGGGAACACCAATGGAGTAATCATTGAACAAAACATTTTCATATTTTCTAAAAATTCTGATTTTTGTTTGTTAAGACCACTACTTTTACTAGCAGTAGTCCATACTTTCTTTTCAAGAGATGTTTCTACCTTTCAAAAAAGTCTCAAGCATAATTAAGTCAAGATTTTTATTGAATTTGTTAATGTTACAGGACACATCATCAGTTTTCAGTTTTATATATTTGTCAAATGTTCAACTTTAAAATTTCCTCTCTCCTAATTACAGCACTTAACCATGAGCATCCTTTACACCTAAAGCATTCTTCTGAATTTGAACTCCTTGCAGGAGAACCAGATTGAGAGAAACGTGACCCCTCTCTTGAGGCTGAGGGTTGCCGACCACCTCGGCAAGGTAAGCACAGAAATGATGGACACCTTCCAGCTGACTGTCTGGAGACCCACAGACGATATCATGCAGTTGCTTAGTGAGGGCAAACGACTGAAAATTTTCAACGTCTCCACATCATCAGGAAGGCAAGAATGATATTTTAACTGTTATGTTTTTATTTTATATCTCTGTGGTAAGAGTATGTGCCTGTTCCTAATTACTGCAAATTTGCATTTCATCTTTACCTCTTTTCAGTAACTGATCATAAAAGTTGATTTTCTTGTTTTAAAGAGCCATCTTTTTAGTTCTTAAAATTTTGCCCTTTTTGATGGAATAGTAAAGTGAGATGCTTTTGATATTTCTCTCTTCATAAGCTCTACTTTATTTCGTTGTCAACACCTTAGATTCCGTGTGGGATCCAGTGCTGTCCAACTAGCCTCAACCCGGGCGACTCGCTACCAAGTCATGCCCTACCCTGATCCCCAGTCCACCCTCTCCTCTGGCTGCTCCGTCTACCAACCCAGGGAGGTGCTGAAGTTTGCCCATGCACTTAAGCCGCGGTTCCTACCTGCTTACAGTGAAGTGGATGTGGTTGGGGTTGTGGTGACTGTCCAGGGAGCTGCTACTAGTCCTGGGAAGAGGTGAGCTATAGTGTAGTAGACAGAGAACACACAAGTCCAGAACTTCTGTGATAACTCATGTCTTATGGCCTGGACCCAAGCCATGGCTTCCTCTTAGTGAAGAAATCTGTCTGCTGTGGACTAATCAAGAGACCAGAATTAGAAACAATTACCATTGTGGCACATTAATACAGGGTTCCTGTGGCCTGGAAAAGTTATGAAAAAGTCATGGAAATTTGTTTTTGTTTTCCAGGCCTGGAAAAGTCATGGAGTTTTGTAAAAATGACTAAAGTCGTGGAAAAGTCACAGAATTTTTCAAACACTGTGTGTGATTTCTATTCTCAGAAATAAGTGCATAAAATGTGTGATTGTATTCGCAACTTAAAAGGCAGAATAGTCCAAGAAATTGCATTATTGGGTCATGGATTTCTATAATTGGGTCACGGAAAAGTTAAGGAATTTAATTGTCCTTTAGGTGCAGGAACCCTGTTCATAGCTACATGCCTCTTTGGCCAGTAGGGTAACCTGCCAAAATGTACCCCCTCAAGTTTAAGCAGCATGGACCCGTGCACATGATTTCGGGTTAGCAGATGTGATGACACGCACATGTCCACACAGTGTTTTTCTCTATCTGAAAAGCAGCTTCAAGGGCATTTTGGAGTCTGGGTTACTGTTGCAAAATGAAGAGGACTAGTTCAGGAAATCATCAAAAATCCAGCTTGGAGTTATAATGGGTGAAAGAGGAGCATTCTCCCACAATTTTCTTAACCACATGAGATAAAAGAATGTCCACACTATGTGCATGTATGTAAAACAAACACGAGTGAGTGAGCAGTGCCACTGCAGCATCAGTGTCTCCTCGGATTACTCAGTATCAGAAGACTCTGCCCGACCTTATTTCACGAGTCTGTAATTTTCACCTATGAGCATGTGGGTGTCAAGTTTCTTGCAATTCTGCCCTCCCACCATGAGCACAGAATTTCTGTGGAGCACAGTAATCGTAATTGTGAGATTCTGTGGTTAATAAAGCCATGGCATTAAGCCCTGCTGATTTATGTGACACATTCAAAAATTGAATAGCTTACCCAAGTTCTGCAGATTGTTGCCACATTTTTCATTCTATGTTATGTCTGGCTCCATCATCCAAGTGCTTCATTATTACACAGTAGCAAAATTACATTGTGGATAGCCTTACACCTGTATTAACCATTAAATTGCCTGCAAAATGATGGGTATTTATTGGTGTTGTCTACTGTTCTGCAGCTGAATTCTTTTCATAAATGTTTTGGTTTGTTTTTCTTTATTGGCCTTACATTTGTGCTTTTGTGTTGAACTTTCTTTCTTGATTTCAGCTACAGTCAGATGGTTTATCTCGGTGATGCTCAGGGGAAATTGATTGCCATTAAGTTTTGGGGTGGCTTGCAGGTGAGTTTACCATGTTCAAGTAATTTGTTGATTTTTAGTTAATATCATCAGTCTTACAATGAATCATTTCATACCACTAAATTTGACTTCTTCCCAAATAAAATTGTTTGACTTGTAAACGGAGGTTAATTAACAATCACGACATCTGCTTTGAAATCATTCAGTTTATTAAGTTTCCAATAAATCAAACAATCAAGAAGTACTTAACTGGTTGTACATTCTTTCATTTAAATTATTTTTAAATGTATCAAATTTTGCAAGGTTAGCATACATGCACTGCACCTCAATTAGCTAGCTTGCTCTAATATCAGCATCTTACCAAATCTTTCAGAACTTAGTAACACAGATAAAAACTGCTCCCAAATAATTAAAAACGATGACAGATTTACCTTCTTAACAGAAAGGAAGGCAAAACTGAGAGGTGGTTTTTGTGCCCATAGTTGGATGATTCAATAAATTAACCAAAATCTTAACTTGCTTGACATTTTTGCTGCGGAACTTCTTCCCAAATCTTTCACTGTGCCATGAAAACAGTGGCTCATTCTGCGCACTTTAACTTTCATTGGGCATCCGGCCCCACTGAACTCGGCCTCCCTCAGCTCTACAAATCCACCAAACCCTGCTATGGAATTTGGAGGGATGGGGGGGGGGGCTGGAAACGATTGTTCATGGATGCATTTGGCTGATTGTGTGCAGCTGCCCATTTACTCAATCACCAACTTCAGTTGGGACAAATTGCCTGAATCCCCATTTATGTTTTCATTCCAGACCCACTGCATTGACAGCCTGGTCAAGCCAGGAGCCTTTATCGCCTCAGCCAATCTCCAGTGGAGGGCAACCAGTGCATCGTCCTCCATACCCTGCTTACATGCCACAGACACCACCTCAGTCACCCAAAACCCTAAGGCTGAACACCTGAGACATGCCATGCAAGACCTACAGAACCAGATTAAGGTAAAGCAAATGGTCCAGGTTTGATTTTTTCTTTTCCATTTTTAATTGAGTTGAAAGACGTATCATCTTTGTATATTCTAGCTTCCAAACACTCCTGAACTGTCTCATATTCGTTGAAAGCGATACTGTTGATGTGTTCTGTGTACTTTAACATTGACCGAACAAATCCTAAATGAAGGAGAAGTGGCAGGGCAGTACCTTCCTCTTTCTTTAACAGAATATTCTGGTTGATCTTGAAAGATTTGGGAGGGTTAAAGTCAGTGCTGCATTGTATTGCTCTGTTCAGCCTGTTTGGATTTCATATTTGGTTTAAGGTGCTTTATAAATTTTGAATTTTGCAGTTATAGTGTTGATAACACCGGTAATGCAAGTCATTTAACAATCATCACCATTTTTATCATCAACATCGCTAGTAATCCCTGATATTATTTGTCAAGTTTTCAAGTCCCCATTGGGTTTGGATCTTTTGCCATACAGAATCCCAAGGCCTTTTTACAGAGCATGGAACAAATTACATTGGAGATGATACTTACACAGTCAGGACATCCCACTCCCATGAAGCCAAGACCAGTTAGCGTGTCACCTTGGTCTGGCACCAAGCCCAGCAGGGGTGATACTGCTACAAATGCGACTTCAGAGTGGGATCACTTATCTGAAGGTCAACGAGTTGGCACTTTTGATCAGATCACTTGCCAAAGCTTCCCCTCTCCTGCTCCAGCAAACTGGACACATCAACTTAGACCAAGTTCAGCTTCCATGCCCAGAGGAGCTGTAGCCTCAGGAGACAGAAGACCGTTTAGCCTAGTCTCTACTCCAGTTATGGATCCACAGGACCAGAGGAGACTTGATATTAGCAGACGGTTTGATCTCCTGTCCAGGGTGCTCTCCCCACCACCTCTGTCACCACTTCCCACCCCCTTGACAAACAGAGTGACACGCAGCTTCCAACTGCCATCAAGCAGGAGATCTGCTCCTGGGTATGGGCTAAGTTGTGGGTCCAATCTTTATAATATGCAAGTGATAAAAGGTCAAGGGTCTGATGTCAAATGTAACAACAGTCTTTATAGCCCAGAGGCCAAGTTACAAGAAGAGACTCTTGACTCGAAAGGATGCATTGATAAGTCTGTGCAGTCATCTGATTTTGCTTTACTAGCACAACACATTGAGATGCACTCCTCAAGAGAATTGGCTGACACTGCCGAATCAAATGTCAAATCTGAGAACTCCTTAGAGGATTGCATGACACCAAGCCAGCAACAGGTCCAGGAGGTACTTGGCATGTCTTTCAAGAGCCTCGGGGAGATTGACTGGGAGTGGACGCAACAGGTGGATGCTCCATATTCTCCAGAACCAGGCATCATCGAGGCCAGGCATTCTGGACCAAGCCCAGACTTCTCCTATGATACTCCAAGTGAATCTCCACCTCCGAAGAAAAAGGAGGAAGACTCCTTAAAACTGTCCGTAACAGAGTCAAACACAGACTGCTGCAAAGAGGATGATAAAAACTTGGCTGGGGAACGACTTGAGATTGTCAAGAGTGTTGACATTCCGAGCAACAAGACTAGCAAGAAAAACCTTGGCCACCGAAGCCGCCGGGAACATACTGGCAGAGATGCTTCTGGGAAACTTTCTTGTCCTTCTGGATGTCCCGATTCCTCAGGGGAACGAAAATTGATGGATGAAGCAATAGATCAGAAAGGCCAGAACAGAAGAAAGGATAACACAGAGAAAGAACAGCTAGCATTAGAGGACACAGAACAAACAAAGAATCATGCAGGTGTTGATGAAGACAAGAATCTCTTGAAGGATGAGCCCAAAGCTTCCAAAGATGTTGCAAAGCATGAAGATGAGAATTGTCCACAAGATAATAATGCTTTGAATAAAGATGCTTCTACAGGGCAACAGATGCCTCTCAAGCCAGTGGCAAGACAGAAGAAGAGGCGAGAGCGGTCAAGAGCTGACCTCTCCATCTTGGAGCAGAGCTGCCTCTTGAGTGATGAATTGGGTGAGCCCACAAGAAGACTGACTCGCTCTAGTAGCAGAAGGTCAACTGTGGGAAAATGATTTCAGAGGCCTGCAGTAAACCTAAGTCCCAAAGGAAAAAAATCATACTGTTTAAGTGATCTGTGATCAAGTACTATTCAGGGGTGATCCAGTCATTTTCACCCTTTCTCTTGCTGTAAATGGGGTTCCTGGTGGCACTTTTTATTTTGCAAGATGTCATATTCCAGCTGGTCGTACACCTTTGCCTTATTTTCTCTGGGAATTTACAATGGAAAGTTTATTAATAGTGAAAATTATTACGTCTCTCAATTAAATCGCATAATATTATTCAGTACTAATGTTAACCATCCATAAATGGAAGTCTAAAATTGCCAAACAGTTCTGTCTTTGAATTCTTTCGCATTTTACAATTTTTGTATTAACTAAAATGTATTCAGATTGCACATGAAACTTTTATTCTTGTAGCGAAATTAAACCATTTTAATTCAGTCCTCAACTCTTTCTTCCTTTGTCATTGTTCTATAAATCTTTCCTGCTTCATTTTGAAACTGTATTAAATCAGCTGTGGAAAAATAGCAGACCATCAAGTTTCTTGTCGAGCATGGCTTTAAGAGTTTTACGGTCGTTATAGTTGAGCCAGATCCCTCTCATGAAAAGGAGGGTTCGTTACACTGAACTAAAGGTCAGTCACATACTTTTTGTCATTGTTGATCCTCAATGTGTAAAGGAGCTGCAGAAATGTATCATAAATCTGACCCCTGATGGTGAGGTCCCAGTGATTCAGGTCTTTGCTGCCTCATTGTCATTGCCTCAGTCTTTCAACCCCGATCAATCTTTTCTAAACTAGATTTTCCCTCTGTATTAAAATGATTTCACATACAGGTGGTTTTTCCCGTTTCAGATGCCTCTTGCCCATTTCTTGGTCTTGACGTTGATAGCTTGAATATATATTCTGTCGGGTATTGTTACCCCAACATTCGACAGACGAATATGGCCTCCCTCAGTGCAAGTCCCAAGTATTTGGGAATTCCAAACACCACTAAGACACAGTTTATTGCGTGGAAAACATGTTTTTTTAGCCGACTTGAAAGTTTCCAATGATTGCATTTTGCAATGCATTTATTTAAGTTTAATTTGTACCGAGTTCTATTTGCATTATCCTCAAGTATCCACTACTTACTATAAAAGTAAGTAAATAAAAAATACTGCACACAATCTGGAGTCAATTACACATGTGCCTAACGATATTTTACTTAGCAAAGTTTGGCTGTCAAATTCCGTTCGTAATTTCAGTTTGGCTGGCGTCACCTCTTCACCTTTCATCTCATTTTGTACCCCCTGTTCCCTGTATCACTCGTTTCTCTTTGATATCTCGCGGCGGACTTCATTGAAATGTCAAGCAGAGGTCATCGGCAATTTTATGACATCATTTGGCCTTGTGTCGTTTGCGGCCGTTGTAAAACTTCTGCTAGTCGCATCACGGTCGCAAGGCGCGCGTCCGGCGCGACAACCGTCCAGTTTATTTCGCTTGGCAGGCTGAATCGAGCCGGCTAAATCGTCGAGCGTGCCTCCAATTTTTTAATTATATATATTTTGCTCCAAAGAATTGGGGCCAGTTTCAAAAGAAGATGCTTTGTACATGATATTCCGTGTTACATTGTTCGATACAGGGCTCATGGAATAGCCTCGTGTAATGCGTTTCTTAGAGTTTCCCTTGCGTCTCATTGATTTTAATTTCAATCTTAACGTATTGCCATTTGAAGGGTGTTTCGGGGCCTTTTGGTTTTTGTAATAAGCAAAACTTGGTTGTTATCAGACAGAAATGTGTCAGACAGAAGTTGTTTTAGTTGTTTTGTTTTGTTTAATAGATGTTACATTACAGTCACTTTGTGAGGAAAGTTTAGATACAGACATTTTTGACGAGCTTCAATTTGGGTACATAATTCAATTTTGTAACTCAAACTCTCGATTGTATGCCAAAAGTGAGCCCATACCCACAGCGCGTTGTCCAGAGCAGCATGGCACATGTACATTCTAAAAGTTGGAAAAAGCCCGCTGAAAGGCTGTCTCCTTCATTTTCTTTCCATAATTCAGAGCGCTTTGACTGTTATACGAACTGTTGTGCCAAATTCATCTTAGGTTGCAGTCTTGTTTAGAACCTTACATGAACGTGTTTTTTTCCAACATTCAGTCAGCTATTTTCTTATGTGTGCAGTAGGTTCGTATGTTGAAATGCCGACGTGTACATTTGAGCATGGAAGGAGTTGCAACCCTGGCACATCAATGTGCTCGATGATCATCGCCGCCCGGTCAGACGAACAATTGTTGTAAACATTTCAAAAGTGCCTGATTACTGCCTAAAGCTTAGCGGGACAAATAGCCTAGAAATATTTGTGGTGTTTTCTTTGCAATTAACTTATCGCAGTGATCAGGAAATAGGAAGAAAAAATATCTAACATCAGATTTACTTTTGGCGTCGTGAATAATTTTTTTAAAGATTTTGATGCACTTTTCCATGATCCATGTAATGTTTATAATTTTATTTTGTAACTCCGAAACATCAGTTTACAAAGTCTTTGTACAAATTTGGCTTAAGACTAGCCAACATGTCGACCACCACAGGACAGTTAAGTTCACGAAAAACAAAATGCGCTGTTTCATCACAAGGAGTGATCATGAAATCTCATAAAATAGGCCTACTTTTTGTGTTAACTCCGTAATAAAACGATTCAAATAAAACACAAAATCTGATAAACAACTTGGATACTTAGGCCCCTATTACCAAAATAAGTCCAGAAGAAAGTGTTCGGCAAGGGTAATACCTGCACATGAACATTTCGTGCACACAGCCTAATAAAAGAACTGCGCAAGCATTAACTTTGATGTTGTCAGATCATACCAAGCACCAACCATGGTATGAATATTCAACTTCCTATACTGCAGTACACAACGTTTTAAGGATATAGATTACCAGCGAAAAATTGCGGCGATGATCATGGGGTACAAAGGGGGCTTATGGTTGTGAAACAGGTGGCGCGTAGCAAGCCTTCGCTACGCTCTGGCTATGGACATACCGGGCATGTCAGAAAGCAGTAATTGGCCAGATGTTGTAGCCCGGGCAGTTCAAACTCCTGTGTCGCTCGATGATTTGAGCATCCCACAATATTTTGTGCCGTAGAAAGTCACATACACCGAAATGCAAAAACATCCGGCACACGACTGTCATTGTTTCCAGGGTGTCATACTAGACAAGTTGTTGCTCAGGGGGGAACTGCATTTAATACATCTCTATATAATTTATCCTCTGCAATAATTCTGAAATCCCAAATCGGAATTAAAAAATTTAAGAAGAAGAAGAAGAAAGAGTTTCCTGGACTGATCATTAAACATCCTTTAAGTCGAATTAGCATTCGAGATGAAACCTGCATTAACATCTGTTGCTCATATGTTTTGGATCCGATATTGTCATGTGTCAACAGCCTGAGCCGATTTTAATCATGTGCGCGTGGGCGAAACCGTTACGGGAGAAATAAAGGTCCAATCCTCCCTGCGAGACCACTAAATCTCCGTGAAGTAGTCTGGATTCCTGAGTATAGTGCCTTTGTCTTAAGAGACCGAAACATTTTCAAGACAAGTGGAGCGGTCCTAGCTCCCCGGAGAAATTTGGCGAGCACGCCGCACACTGTCGAGTCCCGGCCGTTGACTGCCCGCGTTTTCTCCCTTATGCGAGTTCCATTCATTCCGCTGCAGTTTCAGGGGAAATCCGTGCGGTCAGTCATCCGCAAGGTCCGTTGTTTTTTCCCATAGTATTATTGTTTTGCATGGATTATCAGGCGATCAACAACCCCTTCAGAAAGTAAATCTTCTGTCGTGCTTTTCCCTTTACACTCATCCATATCCATGAGTCTATATACTACCAAGGACGTTTGCATTCAAAAGGCTTTGTCAAATGTCAAATCTTCAAAACCGCTTACATTATCTCTCATCAAAGTGCAGTTTACGAGTGCCATATGACAGTAACAGGTGTCATGACAAGAGCCTGTTACTTCATTTTTTTAGGACCCAGATATATACCTCCTTCCACACAAGCTCGCCGGAACGAGGAGGCCCGTTCCTCACCGACTTTCCCTGCAATTACGAAGTAGTTTGCCATCAGTTCCCAGATTTTTATGGCCTTTCTGAATATTGTGTCATGTCCCCAGTATTAATCGGCCTTTTTTCCCTACTCGTGTGACCGATGAAAGTCTAGGGTGTGTGGGGATTGGACATGTACGGGGGTACCCCTCCGTCGCATATCTTTCTGGGTATACAGTTGCCTCTCCCTTAGTGGGATCCTTTCTCCATGGATATTTTGCTAACGATAAGCGCCGATGGATTTAAAGTCTTCTTGGCTACAAAACATATGTTGCTCTTTGAATCAAATGAAGTAGAAAAGATTCTCCTGTGAGACAAAATACCTTCCCTAAAATCAATATAACCGATTTTAAGTATTCTTTGGTGTTGGATATCATTCATTAGACCAGTCAGAGAGAATTCAGTTGGAACTCAACAGATGTTATCGAGCATGATAATAAGTTTCTAAATCAGTTTGAAAAGTGCAACCTACGACTTCGTTTCATTGTGTTGTGTTCAACCCCAGGCTGTTGCATTTAAACGGACGTTGATTGTACATTAGTGTCTAAGGCCCGTTTGGTTTCGTTTTCTGATCGCTATAATTAAATGTACAGTCCAAAATGTCGACGGCGGTCTGCCAACAATGCAAATTATCGCCACTCTTCAAAATATCCACCAACAAGACCGCCTGCACTGGACGGGGGTTGGTACCAAGAGTGTGCAGTGTTTGTTCATCTTCTGCATCATTCCTTTATATTTTCTTGCACGTTTACGATTTTGAGAACTTATGCCATTAGATTTATGGACGAAAACTTTCGAGAGCTTTGATGTTTTCTAGGGAATTGTACTGTCTGTCCACTTCAAGCAACCTTTAGTTATGGTCTGGTTCCCTGCTCAAATATTGTGACAACATTTTAGGCCATTCAGCTGTCACCTTAAAGTAAACACTTCGGCCAGAATTGTGTCAGTGAAATCCCCAAGCCTTCCTGTGTTTTGTATTGAAACAAAAACGCATCTGGTATACCCGAACCGATGTAACCGTTTTACTGGGTGTGTGGCGCCCCTGAGCCTCTTTGAATCGCCTAAAACAGACCATAGGCTGTAAGTTTAGCCCAAACGCGCTGCACGTGGTTCACACTTAACATAATGTGTATCACGGATGCCACAATGAAAAAGGGCTATTGGTCATGTACATTTTACCTTGTATTTGATTTCCCTGTTATTAAGAATTTTGTTTTCTTTGCATGTACGGCAAATTTCTCTCGCTAACTGATTTTTTTGATTTAGTGGTAGAGACTCTTTAAGAACATGTTCCACACGCTTGTTTGTTTTTTTCGGAACTTTATTCTGTCCTTGTGTGTGAAATCGATTCCAATAGCACCGACTTCAGTTGATACCACAATGTTGCTGCTCTGGTATCTTTTTTCTAAGAGCCTAAAACTTTGGACGTATATGCGTACACTGGTTGATTTCTTACACACGACGGCTTTTATTTTTCTCATAATCTCCCGTCAATTTTACTTCGTTCGCGCATACAAACATTGTAGGTCATTTACAGTGCGCGCGTTTCCCATGTTACTTGACTTGTTTGTGTACGATGCGTGTACTTTGCAGTAATTTGGAAATGTTGCTGAGGTGGAAACTCCATGAAGCCTGTGTTAGAAAACTCTGGGTATGGAAAAGTCATTGTCAGGCGCTGTATGCGCGGTAATTGACTTATTCGTAACGGCTGTGTGGTCGTCTGCGGAGTTCGCGCACAGTCTAAACCAACTTCGCAGTAAACTAACAAAATTAGTATCTCCTGAAAAGTGCAAGTCCGACTCAGGCCTGGGTTTGAGTCGTTAGTTTGTCATTGAATTAGGGTGCAAAGTGGGCCGAACTACGATCGTTTACCCATGACTTTTTCTCACTATAAATGCGAATTAAGTGAAAAGTCATTCGTAAATTATGCTTTGTTGTTGGACCCACCCGTCTCTGATGATTGAAGGAGCTCCAGCGAATTCAAAATGATGGAGAGACTTCGTTTTCTAATCATGTTTCATGTATGTCTAACTTCGAGTTAACATACCTATTGAGTGAAAGCTTGGGCATTGGGTTGACCCGAAACATACACAAC